ATTTTACGCAACATCTAGTTGATACACTTCAATATCTATAAAATACACTTTATTCTATAACGTAGGTGACATTACTGCAACATTTTTTTTTAACAAAAACTTCTCTTACACGTTTTTTTTTTGACAAAGAGGGAAAATTGATTCGAAAAAAAAGAATGTTTTTTTCAAATATTTCTTAAAATATTTGTACATTTACTATATGCGATATATATACATACATACATGTACGTGCAAGTGCCCCACAGTAAAAAATGTACTCACATATACATAGGTACATAAATACATACGTACGTCTGTCAACTATGTACATTATATGATGCCTTCGGCTGAATTTCACGTATGGATGTAAAAAAAAAAGTTTTCCATTTTTGCTTTTTTTTTTATTTTTTTCATTTTTCATTGTTTTTATTCGTACATATATATGGTTACCATTGATCATTACAATAGAAACTGAAATTAATAAAAGACCTTTTATTTACATTGAGTAGGGAAATTTGAATTTTGCAATATCCGTTACTTGTATATAAAAATGTTTCACTAATAACATGACTTAATTTGAGGCAATTTCAATAGAAAAATAAAAAGAATAAAAATTACTAATTTCCAACTCTAGGATATTTATGCATATCAGTCAGTTGAAATTGTTGGACAATTTCGAAAAATATTGTAACCCATTTTAACATACGCATACAACAAACAATTTGACAAAGCTTAATATGTAAAATAAAGGCCACAACTTGTCCACAACTAGGTTATACTTTTCAGGTCATTTGAACTTACCATTTTATATTCTATAACAAAGAAACGAAAACTTTTCTTTATAATATTTAGTTATTATTAAACGAATAACTTATTTATAATGTCCTTCGTAGAAAGTCCCTATAACAATTACAAAAATATACATACATTTTATCTATAATAAAAAGGGACAAAAATGAATAGAAATGTTAATGAATCTTTGTAGTTTTTAACAGAATTACTAATTTTGACCGAAATCTTTGAATATACAAAAAAATTTTTAAGTTTTATCTGTTTATCGCAAATGCCTCTTTATTAAACAAAGAAGATTTTATTACTGGGATCCATATCTTAATTTCTTTTCATTTTTCATTTTTATAGTATTTATAAACCCTTTATGTAAAAGTATAAGAATACACTTTTACATTTTATTAAGAATAATTTACAAAATATTGTAGCTCTTTACCAATTTTTGGTATTGCAAGCTATATTATAATTGACATGTAATCCCTTTTTTGAGAGAGGTCAAGCCCCGAATGCAATATGAAATTCAACGCGAAAATATTCATCGCTCGAATATCATGAGAATAAGAGTAAGAGTTCTGAATTAATTCAGTGGATTATTTTTAATCAATATATTCATAAAAATAAATTATATTAGGTTTAAAAACAATTTTTTTTTTTGTAATAAAATTTTATTACCTTATATTAAAACGAAAATTAAAAATACTTATTATTCTACCTTATTTTACAAATAAATTACATACACATATTATAATGGCTTTTTATTTAAAACATTTATTTCAAATTTAAAATTATGAGATATTACTTTAAAAAAAAGCGAGAATCTACTTTTTCTCATAATTTGATTTTAATTGTTTCTTTCAATTCGAAAGGGGATTTTCGATAATTCAGAAATGCACTGAAAATTCTAAATTAAATTTTAAAGGTCCTTTCAAACATACTTACAAATCTCGAGTAACTCTTCAATATTCAATATTCGAGTAATTCTTTTTTTCATTATACCCTTCTTTTAATTTCTTATATTTTTGCAGTAGTTATAAAAAAATTTTAAAAATTTCCTTTAAAAATTTAAGCACAAACGTAATTTTCAAACAAGTTATTTTTGCAGATTTTGCAGTTTAGAATTATTGAACGTGCTTTATATTTAAAACTGAAATATGGAAAATCCCCAAAGTTACATTGTATTTATCAATTGCTTTTCGAACTGAAGACAACAATTTCTTTAATCATTTCACTAATTAAAATTCAATTTATGTACTCATATATAATAGTTTTATGTACATGTTATTCGTTAAATTAAAATTGTTTCTTTAATATTAATTTTTTTTTATTTTGTTATTAATATCAAAATTGATTAGTAGATTCTAATATTTAGCATAAAAAAAAAGCACTGCAATTAGTTGAGAATTTGAGTATGAAAAAAAATAAATGCTGTATTAAAATCGCCGGTGATGGACTGACTTTTCATATGATATAACATTTTTAAAACATATTATAACTGCATTCAGTCCTTTTTTTTCTGAACTTTGAACTTTTTTCATACAGTTTTTGAATTTAAGATATAACAATATTAGTTAATTTTGGTATTTTTTTGTCAATGTTATTCAATGATGCCATAAAAACTTGGACCAATTCTTATCAAATCAGTTATCTAATTATATATACACAGTCTACAAATGTATTGTATGTATGTACATATATACAAATATTGCATGTATTTTTGATTCGATTTTAAAGCTCCAGGATTACAGGATTATATAAAGTCTAAAAGTTGAATATTCAACTCTTTTTATACTTTAAAAACCAATATTTGTTAAATTAACATCAACATTTGTATCAAGATTAAAATGTATTTTAAGACGTCTCGTGAAGAACATTTGAACAATATTATGCTTCAATTTATGAAGCTCAAGTTCAAAATATATAATAAAAGAAAATTTTTATCGAAATCTCAATCAGAAGTATGTTTTATTTAAGTTTACTTATGGAACCATAAAACGGATAACCTTATATTTTATACATTTATATGTACGTATTACTTTTATAATATAAATACATATTATATTTATACGTACGTACAAATTAAAAATAAATACACATATATGTATATATACATGTAGGTATATAAGCAATGTACATATACTATGTATATATTATTATACTAATATAAAATTTTACCGATTTACTTAATTACACTTAAATAAATTGTTTTTATAACGTTAAAAATTTGCTAATCACAGTACATTTTCTCCTAACAATTTCAAGAACATTTTTAATTAATGCACTACCACTGCTTTTCTATAATTATCATTCTTAAATTTGGCTTGTAAGGCTAGATATTTTTTTTTAATTTATTAGTTCTAATAAATTTTTTATGATATTTGCCCTAAAAATGCGATTATGAAAGATTTACAGTAAATTAGCTTATGCAATAATATTTTAACATGAAAAAGATTTTTAATTTTTTAACATGAAAAAAGCTAAGCTCATTTTAAAGCCATACATGTAATACTTTATTCATGACGTTAGTTATAACTATAATATTAAATGCTTCAAAAAGTCCTTTTGTTTACAATTATCTAAGATAAATTGAAACGAATTTCAGTTGTATTAAAATAAAATGTGATAAAACAAAAATTTTTTAAAGAAATTTCTTAACATTTTGTCTTTTTAATCATCTTTCTAGATTAGTATATACTAAAGAAAAAAATTTAATAATTTATACTTAATTATAATCACAAAATTCGTCAATATTTGAAATTATTGAGATTATATTGAGCAAAAAAAAATGGCTGTGAATGTTTAATTACAAACAAATTATAGATACAGAGATTTTAAACTCAAAAAATATCTGACCTAATGTGCAACTTAAATTTGAAATAAGAGTATTTGAAATAAGAAATAAAATCTTGTTAAATTGATTCCTTCAACATTTATTACATAAAACTCAAAAATTAAATAAATAATTTTTAATTATATTAAACAGGTTAGAAAATAGAATTGCAAATCTGTTATATGCACAATTTTGAATCCGCATAACGTTGAAAGTTGAAGTAAAAATTGAAAGTTTCTTTAAATATTTACTGATAAAAATATTATTATAAATTCTGAGTAATTTTTATGTAGATGAAAGAAAAAAGTAGTATGCAACAATTTTCAAATTTTGAATTAAAATTATATATTTGCAATTTAAATAATCCGTTTACAAAATCTTTGAACTGACATTATTTTCGCTTTTAAAAAGTTTTCAAAGTATCGTATTTTTTAATAAGAATCGATTTTCTCTTTTATACATTCATATATATATAAAAACAAGACAAATTATTGCTAATACAATTAGAATTTAATTTTGAGTTTTGTATAATATCATATAGAAAATAAATGTTTTCTCTGCTACAAATATCTTTTTAAAAGGAAAACTTAACGGGTCACATTATGATATTTAAAAAAAAACACTGAAAACTATTTCAATGTTTTAAATTTGATGTTTTGCACATTCGAAGACTAGGTAAGTTTACATCTAAAACGCATAAATGACTATTGTCTTATATTTGCGGAAGTATATTCAACTTTATTTCAGTTCTCAATACAAATAAAATAGCTTCTAAAAAATTTCGGACATAGAATTCAAAATTGTACAAAAAGTACTTTTTTTTGCATTCAAAATGCCAACTTGAATTTGTAATGTGAAAAAAACTTAACTTTTGTTCAGAGCAACCAAAATAAAGTTTCAGTGTTATATAAGTACAAAATTAGTCTAATTTTTTGTTTTAAAAGTTTTGAAAACTAGTCTTACTTCTAATATACTAACATGTTTTTTAAGTTATGTGAGAGACTACTGGTACACTGTCATTCTTTAGAAATATAGAAAATATATTTTATATAAATAATGTTTTTACGTAATGAACTACAATTTAGTACTACATAATATACATAATGTTTTGAATAACTTAATTCTATTTGTGTACTTAACAAGAAATTGTTACAAGTATAACGATATGAACGTTTTTCTTTTTCAAAATATGCATATTTTCAATTTTAATCTATTTGAAAAAAGAAATAAAAAAATTTCTTACAAAGACACTAAACAACTTAAACGTCATATTTTTATCTTGGTTATTTTTATACAATAATTATTAAAATTTAATATGTAAAAATTATCTAAATTTTCGTAAAAGTTTACAATTTTCAGTATTTAAACATACAATTTAAATTTACAGACAAATAAATAACTCCAATAAATATAGTATTATTTTTTTTAAGTAACATTAATTGTATTTTGTTACAAAAAAAAATACTGAGTACAAAAAGATTTTAGCATCAAATTTTACTATCTTACTATTTTATTAATGATGTAAATTGATGAAAATTACTTAAAAATATGCTAGACTACTTTTATTGAACATAACATCGTTGTTAAAATTAAAAATTTAATTTCAAAATGTCTTCAGACTTAAACGTTTGATCGGAAGATGAGTAAATATGTCTTTTCATTTCATCTACATATGATTGTATATTGCACGAGTTTTTTGAGATCCTGTGCTTTGTTTGGATAAATCAAAATTTTTGACCTGAAAATCAAAGTAAAGAATAAATTCAACAATTAATATAAATCTTCATGGCACAGTACCATTTAACTCCCTTACTCTTATTATTATTAGGAAATCAATCAATTACAATAATCAAATTATTTAAGAAATCAAATATTTTGATAACCAATTTTGTTTCATATAGGTAACAAATAATTTCTTTTAAAAGGACCTAAGTTTAAGAAAGAACTCGAAAGAATCGGGAGTTAAACTTGTTTCCAAATTTTTTTTTTATAAAAAAAATGTAATAAAATCTTACTGTTGACGTGGGAAAGCCGTCTTTGTAAAATTTTCGTGGTGACCTCGTTTCCAGTCAACATTAAATTCTGTTTTTGTCCTTGTACATAAATCCCATTTGCCAAATACATTTTTTGTGCTGCACGGATATCTTGTTTTTTATCCTTGTCTGCATGGTCACCCTATAAAAAAAATATTGTAAATATTTTCCTATTACAACACCGAATAGTGCTAATTATGCAATTACGATTTCAAAAACAAATTCTACTCACCAAAGGGCTGGCAGATTTTCTGTCTATCATATTTTCATCGAAACCGGAATCAGACGAATTATCACTAAATTTCGATGCAGATGGATCTGGAACATTATGAGTTTGATTTAAGGTCATTTTATTGACATCCACTGTTTTAAAATTTGCGGGGTCTATTGAATTTTTTATGTCTTTGATTTCATTAGAAGTCAAACGAACAGATAAATTCATTTTGTTTATTGAAGTTTTTATTATTTTTCCGGTATCAGACTTGAGTTTGTGCATCATAGCAATCTTATAAGTAGCTGAAGGGTCTTTTTCTTTAATTAAACCTTGAGCAGATAAGATTTCCGTATCAGTCTTTTGCCCATATTCAGTTTCTAAAGAATAATTTTCTGCCTGTCTTTTAAGAAAAAGACTATGTTTTTTTAATAATACACCATTTATTCCAGGAGTTAGTTGCTCACTTAATGCTTTATTTACATATGTATCGTTATCAGACTTATTTTGCTTTTGTAAAATATTGCATTTTATTTTGATTGAAGTATTGTGTTCTGGACATGGTTGATAATTTTCAAGATCAATAATAATAGCATTTATATTGGAATTTTCATAAGCAAAACCACAACATATTTTACGCACTTGCCATAGATTTTCGTCTATAAAACTAAAATTTTTTAACGATAAATTTTTTTTTGGCTTGAGAGATTTTCTTCTGTTGACCTTTTTCTGAAATTTTTTATTTTGCAGCTCTTCAAAACTTATATTTATTTGATTAGATGTAGGAGATAAGGACTGTTCATCCTGTCCCCAATATGCAGAAACACAATCGTTATCAGCTACAACCGCAAAATCATTTTTATTTAAATGCCTCTTCTTTTTAAATATTTTAGAAAATTTTTCCGGAAGGTTGCTTTTCTGGGCTTTGGCATCAACCTTTTCATTTTCTTCACGAAGCTTTTTGAACTTTGTCATAGATTTCATGCCTGGTCCAACTCTAGCATCAACAACATGACCCCAATGCCGATTACTTCCAACTGGCAGCCTTTTGTATCTTTTCACTAATAAAACACAGGCATTACAAATCTCACCTTGTCTAGGTTTGTCTAAATTAAAGCATTTTACAGAATCTCCTTCATATTTTTTTGAATCGGTGAATCTAGAACTAAAAAATTTTCTCTTTGCATAAAAAAACTTTTCGATAAATTTGAAAAAGTAAAGCTAATTACAATTTCTTTTAATTACTTTTTCGCAATATAATTGTATTAATTATAAAAAATTTTACAAAAAAATAGTATAGAAAATACATATGAACAATTGAAACAAACCTGCTAGACTTAGCTCTGCAAATGCAGCATCCTTCCGTACTTCTATACACTCTTGGCTTATGAAACGAAAACATTTTATTTATTATTATATATATGTATGTATATATATTTCTTTATGTAAAGTATTGCAATTTGAATTTATTTATAAAAATGCATCCTTTTAACTTCGCATAGGAGGTGCTAAATCAAATTTCCTGTTTCAGATCTATAAATAAAAATTAAAAAGGAAAACAATTAATCAATTAGAAGGCAAGCACAATATTATTTTTTTTTTTATATATTTTTTTCAAAAGTTTTAAAGAATTGCGACACACAAGTAGATATGTAAATAAAATACTGGAAATTTTTACAAGAACCTTAATTACTCGAATATGTACATATGTATATCGCATCTATCAAAATTATATTACATGGATTCGTACTCGTATATTCAAATACACTTTAGAAAGGTGAAAAATGTAAATGAAATATCTACCTACTTATAGGCTATAACTAAATATTTCATCTATAAAAGATTGAATTTCTAATGCAAAGGTAATTGGAACTTTTAGATAAGTATTTAGGTAACTACCTACCTAATTATATTTGAATTGATGTGCACAAAAGTATACATACATACATACCTAAATTTTCTTCCAAACTTGTAAGTATATCAATATTTTTTTTTTTATCAAGACAAAATATACATATTAACTTTAATAATTATATCATCTACATTGTGCTGTTATATTTAAATGTTTCAATAACTTTCATCTACTGCTAAGGTATCATATGGAGGGTATCATAAGAATTTTTAAAGCTTTGTTAATACAGGTTTTAAACTTAAAAAGTGGTCGTTTACATGGTGTGCATCAAGTAGTTTATACACACATATACATATGCGTGCACATATGAGAAGACCGAATGAAATATTTAATTGTGCTATTGCTATGCATGAAAACATAAATTTTAAATATTTGTTTAAAATAAATGCTTTCAGTAACTGTTATTATTACATACGAATTTGTAAAAAAAAAATTACACGGAAAGCAAACAAAACTAATTTTAACACCAAAATATTCTATATTTTCATACTTATTGCATAAATGATTTTGTGGCAAATTTTTTTTTTTTACAAGATACACCGAATTTTTATGTATACGTAAACTGTTGTTGTTATAATCGAAGTGCCTCTGTACTTTTATTTTAAAACAGATATAGAATATGTAGGTCTGTTTTTATATATATAAATATATATGTATATTTAAAATAATAAGTATTTAGTTAAAATTCAACTAAAGAATGGTATTTTTTTTTTCAAAATCTTAAACAAAAGCTTATCAAAAATGCTAATAATGCCTTGAAGCCGTCAATAATGAGTTCATATTTTTTGATATATAGCTATTTAAGTATATTTTGATGTAAAATAAGAACTAATGCACCATAAAGTAAATTTATAAAATATATAATTAAATACAATAATCACTTCCAGACATTTTTCAAATTAAAATATTTCAAATCTAAATTTAAGCATCGCCATGACGCTCTCATTCTAATATTGTATATACATACCAGGAAAATTTATTACAATTTGTTTCCTCTGAAATTCTGTTTTTTTCGGAAGCTATTCTTACTATAATTTACTTTGGAAAATATTTTAATATATAATAATGAAGTTTTTGTATAAAGATTTTTAAATTATGTACTCGTAAAAACAATATTGTTAAAAATTGTGTAGGTACCTGTACACTGCTTAAGTAAAAAGTATTGCTTGAGAAAGTTTTTTTACCAATGTTAATGTATACTTTTGTTTTTTTTTAATTTCGCAGTTATACAGGTTCAGGTGATTGTGATTCAACAAGATTACCAACATTACAAACACAAGTTTTTTTAGCAGCAGCTGTTAAAAAACTGTCAATAATGACATTTGGCTACACTTATTTATCATACCCCTGAATTTTTTTCAATAGGTCAGTTTAAAGCATTGTCAATTTAAAATTTCATATTACGAATGATGATGTTCAAATTTGCACTAGGATTAAAATAACTCGAATTAAAAATAACTCTTCTCTTTCTTAAATTTAAAAGTACAAAATAAAACAGAAACATCTATAAATTTAAAAATAGCTATCTTGAAAAAAGAAATTATTATTTTAAGCTTTTTGTATTACATAGAATTTCTATGTAGTACAAAATTGACAAATCACAAAAAATTTGCAAAACTTAGCATTAAGTCACAAACTGAAAGCGACATTTTGAAATTTAATTTCCATGTTTTATTTTTAAATTTATTTTTCATTATAAGGAGAATGCATTAGAATATATTTTATATTTGTATGTTTGAAAAGAAAAAAATTAACAATAAAAGAAAGTTTTAAAAGATTATTTTCAGTAGATGATATTCATAATTAAACTACTGGAATATTTCCAAAATATTTAGTATGTTTAAACATATGTTTAAGTTTATTGGCTAGAGGTAAATCTGGGTTCATTCGTTCGTCGTTTTTGAGCTCAGCTATTTAAAGTCGAATTATTTTTTCTCTTGATTGTTCATTGGTTCGTCTGAAAAAAGCTGATCGTTTTATTTTTTTATGATGCATTTATTACTTTTTTTACAAGAATTATATGTAATTGTAATAGTTCAGTATATGTATGTAAATTTGACGTTTTAAAAAAACCTCCGCACTAAAGTTGAAATTGATTCAACTTTTTGAGAGAGAGAAAAAAAGATGTATTAAAAATGAAGCGAATGCCAAAAATCAAAATTTTCATGTAAAATACATCAGCTCGTACTGACGAATCAATAAATCTAGCTTAACGAAACGCATATTAACCATATTGTGTAAACACAGCTATTAATCCTTGAAGGGCTGAAGATACCTACAATTGCTTCAAACTGCGTCATACATGTACTACGTTATGTATGACTACCAAATTGATCAAATATAGCTCAGAAAACAGTATTTTTCAATGTTAATGTTGAAAATTAAACTACATACATTGTTCTTAAATACCTGCTCTTCAGTTTCACCTCAGCCATATTTTTTATTAGTTATTTAAAACTGTAAGTAGTGTTGATTTTTATGAAATTTACATATTGAATGAAATCACATTTATAGATCAAAATTTGTGTAAGAAGTTTTTTAGTTTTAATATTCAAGTTAAAGCTTCGAATTCAATATTCAAAGTTCAAAGGTTACTCTCATCATTCTAAATTTCTATATTTTTCCGTCAATATAAAATTCTTTAAAAATTTTGAATTCCATTCAGTAATATTAATAATCCCATTCCTTTGTTTTTCTTTATTGTCACATATTATAAATGGAATAAAAAGAAAAACATTAAATTTAAAAGTATATGACGATAAACACATCTTGTCATTTTTTTTAAATATTCTTATAGTCATAAATAAGATTCCTTTTAAAAATAAGGAGACAGATGATCCAGCTTAAAATTGAAAAATGTTAAACACAGTGGTATTGCTGTTATAACATACGGTTATAGCATAGGTTTAACAAGTTTTATTATAAAGAGTTTTCTTTATTTATAAAGAACGGCGGTATTTATTTGTATGTCCTGAAAGAAGTTTTCTACAATAGAAGATTAGACCGATTACATCCAAAAGTTATTTATAAGATACTGTAGTGTATAAATGCTACTTGGACAAATACAAAAATTGAGTGCAATTTATTGATTCTTTTTTTGAAAAAGGGCCATATCAAATTTTGATTCCAAATTTGAAAAGACGTGACAAAATTACAGTAATAGAAAAAGTTCGACACAAAATTATGTAAAAGGGGAATAATAATATATAATCTTTTATACTGTTCCTTTTCAAAAAATTAATTTGAATTTTGTTAACCTAATTTTCTAAAGTTAGGCGCCGGAAAGACATGCAAGTTTAATCCTTGCACGCACATCGAAGCAACTAAGTTTTTAAAACTCCCAATCAGTTTGTAAAAACTACAAACTGTTTGATTGCGAACATACAGTTGCACGCGCTTGAATAAAAATCTACGGAATACAAATAAGCAATCAAACTACAACTAAAAATTGCATGTCTCTTTGAGTTCATAACTATATATTTGAACGTTATATTTAAGTTAAATTTAATCAATGAAATCTTTTAATTTGTTTAATAAAAAATTAAAATGCGGAAAAAAGGAAATTGAATATAACTTAAAAATTTTATAATACGTAAGTAATTTAAAAATCTAAAATCACTTTTTGACATAAATCTTGTATCGTATAATTAATTGAACCTGATAAAATCCAAAAGGGTTTTTAACATTATATATGTAAGTAAATAGATAATAAGTAAATTGAAAAAATTATAAAATAATTAAAAAATTTCTACTATTTCCTATAATAAATGAGAAGTTTAAAAATAAGAAAATTATTAAATTATTGATTTAATAAAATTTTTTTGACCAACAACAAATTAAAATTTTACCTTTATAAAGTAATTTTACCTACATTAAAATGTTGCAATTACACTACAATACTGAATCAAAAAAAGCAAATTATATCCCATTTATGGTACAATAAAAAATACAATTTATACATATATTTAAGGTCACATGAGTTTGCCAAATTATTTTATACCTTTCAAAATCCTATATTTTAACCCATATTTAAATTTACTTTAAAAATGGCAAATAAACATTTTTCTTTTTTATAAATATTTCTTTAAAATAATTCATGTTTAATTGATCAAACTAAAAGAAAATTGATTTTTGCTAGACTCAAAATATTTGGGTACCCTTATTTATTTAATTTTAGATTTAACAAAATTATTTTTTGAATAATTCAAAAAAAAAGAAAACTATAAAATTGAAATAAAACGTACACACATAATTTATTGTAAACACTATTATATCTAAAACGTACATATACAATCATATTTCACAAAATTATTCTTAAAATCACGATTCTACATTATTTTCTCAGACATTTTATTATATCGAAGATTTAATTGAACGCTCTGAGAAAACATTTTTATAATTCCAAAATTTTTATTTGCAAAAATTTTTAAAAAACTTGGAATGTTTTTATTAAATAATTCAGCACAAAATTGCGGATATTTTCTAAAAGTAGGTTGAATTTCATCCCAAATGGTTAATATATCACATTCGTCACTAAATGAATGAATAACAAAAATAATAAAAATAATATTATTAAATGCAAAATGAAACAATTTTTGAACTTACAAAGATGATGAGTTGCTACAATCGTTGAATGAGAGAACTAAATATTGAATTTTTAATTGAGAGAAGTGATTGAAAATTTCAGATGATTCTTGTCTGCTAAACACAGAATAAATTTTTTCTGTTCTTCCGCTTTTGTAAAAAAAAATAAAATAAAAAATATATATAGAAAAACTACTAAGGAAACAAAGCGAATATTCTGTTAACATCTAACTTAGTTCACTTTCGATATTAAGTGATTATAATGAATTTTATTGCAAATTTTTTGAATAATGTTTGATTAATTTCTTCAATAAATTCTTATAATTGATGTCAAGCTTTATTATAACATTACGTGTAAGAAATGTTAATAGAAAAATAGAAAACAACGCTTCTGTAAGATTTTACAATGGATTTTTTACCTCAAATTTGAATATGAAAAGTTTAGTTTTTAAGACTTGTGTTAACAGAGTTTCGCAAAGAAAAAATTATAGTAATAAAGATTAAAGTTCTAACTACAAAAACAAAATTTTAAAACCTTATTTGTCGCATATCAAGATGCGCATGATTGACTATTGGCCTTCGTGTAGCTAAGTGAACTGTTCCAATAATTTCTACCGGTCCTGGAAATATTTTATATAGATGTAATACATATATTAGTAATATAAAAATAAAATTTATTTATTTATATAAAATAGAATTTAAAAAATTGAATAATTAAAATAAAAAAGTAATCTGTAAATTAATGGGACAAGAATTTATGATTACGATATTTAAGGTAGGTAGCAATAATTTAATTAACTAACACGAAAAGAAAGCCAAATTACAATGTTATTATATAGCTGTATTTTAAATTAAATACATACCACCAAAAACAGCATCTTCTTCAGTATTTAAAGATATCCACTCTAGCATATTTTGTAGATCACCAGAAGTTTTCGTTTCAGGTAGATGTTCTTGTTGTATATTATGTAAACCTGGATCTACTATACTGGTAAAAAATACTACGAGGGATATAGTCCAGAAAACATTGTTTTGTTTTCTATACCAAAATTTCGAACACAATGTTGGAGCTATTACACAACCTTGTGTGAAACACAGGAAAAATAATTTTTTTAAGCTTAGACCAATTATAAAAAACATTATTAATTGTGCGACACTATAAACGTAATGATTATTATTATATTTATCAGAAACTTTTTCTATTTTTCGTACTTTTTTATTTGATGCGGATGAATTATTGTTGCTCGTTTTTTCATTAGAATTGTCTGCGGACGGATCATTAAATTTGGGTTTTTCATAATTGTTACTTGTATAAATAATTTTTTTTTCTCCTTTTTGAATATTTTCTTCAAGTCTTTTTTCTTTAATTTGGTCTTTTAACTTTTTAACATCGTTCATAAAATCATCATGCTCGAGTTTAGATTCTTTTTTGATACGATTTTTTTCTTTTTTATACTTTTCATAATCGTAGTTACATTCCTCTAATAATTTAAAACAACAATTTAATTCCATTTCGGTTTCTTTATTTGTCATCTCTTTTATAGTAATATGGTTCTCCTCCATAAAGTCTTCAAGTATATAATTTTTGGCACGTTCTTTCTGTTCTAATGAACGCTCGTGTGGATTTTTTGCTCTACGCCATTTTCTAAAAAATTTTGCAAGTATGACTACACCATATAAACAGTATGGTTTCACGAATAATGTTTTGATTAACTCCCAAAGATCATTTAAACTTGCTTCAATATAATCGGAATGACAAGCAAGTAAACTTGTAGTGAAATTCGCTCGCCTTTGTAAAGTCCAATGTAATATCAAATCCCTATAAATCGAGTAAGGATTATCATCAGCTTTAGTAAAACCAGACTTTTCTAGCAAATCGATTAAAAATCCTTGCGAACTGAAAGCATAAAATATTCCAAGAGTTCCTCCTCTAATACTCTCCGAAGTTATGCCAGAAAACTTAGGTTGAGTCTTTCTATTATAGAAAAAGCTTATGGAGAACAAAGCCAATGCTGGCCCATTTTGCCAAGACAAAAAATATTTTTTATTTCCGTAACTAAAATAATATGCTAGCAGGGTTGAAGCAAAATGAGATATAGCATAATATATACTAAACCAGTTTGAAAATAGTCCTATGCTCCATGGTGTTATTAATATTATAATTTGCGTAGCAAAAATAACTGACGAAAATTGCCAACATAAAAGCGATATTGTAGTTAGAATTACTAGTTTAACTAACTGAAATCAAAAGTTGACACGTTAATATCTTTCTTTAACTTTAGAATTTTAATTTTTCAAATATAATATTTGGCTTTAGAAAAAATAGTTACTACTTACCATAATTATTTTAAATTTATTGCTAACATATCTATCAGATTTTTCAATACAAAGAGATAAATAAAACATTTGCCAAAAAATAAAAGGAAATGCGAAATTCTCTCTAGCGACAGGTCTTTCATATATTTTTGATGCATTTTTATGAAATATTATGTACAACACAACCGCATATATTCCACCAAATATATTTTCACTATAAAACCAGTATGAAACATATTATTTAGATTGAAAATATTTTTTTTAATATTTATATTCACCTTAAAAACGAGCCATACATGTATAGAAAGAAGACGGTAAAGCCTCCCATTGCCCATAGAAATTCTAGGTAAAAGTAAAATGGTTCTCCAATTCCATCGCATATAATATCTCCATTATTGCCATTCAAATTTTTCTCGTTAGACCAGCAAGATATTATAGGAAAACCAAATTTAGAGCTAAGGCTTTTAAAATAGTGGTAGCAATATCTAAATATTAAGAATTTGAAATAAGTAATATTTTATATTATTTATTATATATTTATAAAGTTATATTTTATATTATTACATATTTACATACATACGTATAATCCATAACGTATGTATGTATGAATGTAAAATGTAAATATTACCCAATAAAAATTTCTGGAAGCACATGAAAACGTTTTACCAAATTGATGCCATTTGGGTATTCTATATCAGTATAATTTAATAATTTTTTATATCCATCCCAAAAATTATTTTCTTCTATGATAGTTTTATAAAACGAAAAATATAAAGCATCTTCCCGAAGTAGCGCTTCTACAAGTAACAAGAATAACATTTTATAGCACAATTATTAGAGTTTCAAAATTAGTATAGAATTAGAATTATTCTTATTTGAAATTATTTACATGAATTTATTACATTTTATAAGGTAAGTAGTGTGAGCGTGAGCAGATACTGAAGTCAAAATTAAGATAGCTATTAAGGAAATGTCTACTCATATTTTCATAGAAGTGCAAACAAAATATGAAATTCAATTTAAGGAATCTGTCCTATAATCATTTAAATGAACTACAAGTACCCTTAATATGTATATACATACACATACTACAATTTAAAAAAAGTAATTAACCTTTTCCTAATTTCGTCAAATGTCCAAAATTAGTTCTTGCTTCAAAAATGGTTCTGACATAATGAACATACAGAAAGAAAAATCCTATTCCTAAAATTGTAAAGGATAAATTGTACATTATTTTAATTACATTTATAATAAAATCAAAATTTGTTTTTATATTTACCAATGAAAGCATGTGATATTAAAAGAACCAAATAATTTTTTTCCTTCATTTTCTTAATAAATATATGTGAAAATGTTCATTTTCTACATGATTTTTTACGTAATATTTAATGTTAGGAAAGAAAATTTAAATATGTGTAAAATATCTCTTAAAACGTAATGGAATATATTTACTAATTATTAATTTTCAACTAAAACTTAAATAAAACACCACCCAGTATGAATGAATAATATGTTATGAAACTTTGGTAACAGTTGTGATACTTTGACTTGTCGCATTGCTGTCAATTTTCCTCTGAAGTAATTTTGATTAATATAATAGTTACCATTACTATAATAATGGTTTCACTAATAAAGGATCTAAATAGAGACCAATCTGCATAAGATATACAAATAGGTATCTGCATAAAAGAAACCTTTATATCGTAAATGTCTTAAAAAAGCTGAAAGGGCCTTTATTATACCTTTTACACCTTGCCTTATACCTAGATCATAAAAATGAATATAAATTAATAATTTAATTTATCGTTAACTATGCACACATTTTTTTTATTTCTCATTATTTACAAATTTACTGTGCTTTATACGCAAAAAGTGTCAAAATAATGCATCGGATACATTATAAAATATATTTAGATTAAGATAAAAAGTAAAAAGTTTTTGTTTTAAGTCATTTATGATGTCAGGGAATCTATATTTTCTGGGTTACGTTAAATTACTTCAATTTTTCTATAAAATTAATTTCTATAAAATAATAATAAAATCTATTTTCTATAAAATAACTTGAACGAAATTTCAATGGCAGGAAAAAGTTTTTAAGCGAAACTTCCCTTTGTTTGCACATCTGCCATTTTGTGCTTAGTTTGGCTCGTAATCTCGTTGCATTTGGTTACGAAAGAAGTTTCTTCAACAAAATAATATAGAAAAACTGTTAGCACTCCTGTACGAAAGCGTTATCAAGTTTAATAGCCTTGGATAAAAATTTATAATTTAAGTGTTTCTTATTCTTTACATGTTGACTTTTGTTATGGTTATAATTTTTCTATAAATTATGTTTATAATTCTTTAAATTATAAACATAATTTATAGAATTCTAATAATAATTCTATAAATTATTTTAGTTTGGCATAAAGTTTAGGCGTTATCAGATAATTTCAGTTTGATACGTAGACAGTCATCCGAAATTATTTACGTTTTAGGGCCTGATAGTCTATTTCGCTACTTTACTCGGAAAGTAAGAAGAAAGGGATTAACTATCATATACTTGTATAATGCTGTTAATCTTATATTTTGTCGTATATGTGAACAGTACCTTAGCCAACGTAAATACATTAAGTGAAAAGTTGTTTTACGAGTTGTGTTGTTAGTTAAAGTTGCTTAAAATATATAGGTAAAATAAAGAAATTTTCTTTTCTTTGGATTTCATTTCTTCACTGCAGAGACCGCTTAACTGACACTTAAAAAGTCCAATTGTCAAATAGTAAGCAGATATTTAATCAACCACGTGTTAGTGACATTGACAATCTTGTTGTTGGTATGTTTATATTTTTGTATAATGTATATTGTACTTGTATGCAAGAACCAAGGCTTTTGAAACATGAGTGCAACATTAAAAAAAAAAAAGTTTTCAAAAAAGAATAAATCTGCATGGAGAAAACATATAAATGTTTCAGATGTAGATGAATTTTTAGAAGAGCAAAGGCAAGCGGAACGAATTGGGTAAGTATCTTTAAATTTGCATTTATTGAAAATCAGTTAATGAAGGTATTTTGTGGGTATTCTATAAGTGGATACTTATATATAAAATAATTTTTATTGCATATAATAATAATGTGAATGAAATATAATGACTGGAATAATTTTTTTTCCCATTTTATTACATATATATTTAACTACAATACTATTTTCTCAAAATATTTTTAGAGACTTTTCCATAAAAAAAGATGAAGATCTCTTTACAATAGATGTGCAAAAGTGTCCAAAACTCTTATTGTCTGCCAAAGAACGAAGAAAACTTAATGCACAAAAGCCAGCTAAAAACTTAACCGCTTTGGAAAATACTTCAGCTGTGCAAGACCCAATAACGAAAAGGTTAGTTATCTAAAAACTTATTTTTTTCAACTACAAGAAATATATGTCTTAAGTTGCATATTGCATTAAAAGTCACATAACTGTATAAGATGCGTGAAATTTTATTTTACATTAAACATTAATGAAACAATTACAGAAACAAAGTTAAATTAAAGAAACACGGAAGAAATATTTTGGAGGAAGTAACGAATCCCACTTCGCAAAAACATAAACAAGCTAATGAAGATCGTGAAAAATATTACAATGTGCTTGACAAAAAAATTGAAACCGGAAGAAAACGTGATTTCAATAAGGATATTTGGGAAAATAGCGATGAGGAGTTGAAAGAATATGGAAATCATGAATGGGTTTCTAAGGATTTAGCGTTGTATCATTTGAAGAACACGGGCCGAGCGCACGTAAAACTTCCAGGAACTATTCGAAAAAAAACTACCCTATTGAAGTAACTTAAATTCAATTTTTTTTAAAATGCAAAAATAATTAAAAAAAAACATTTTTCTATAGGCCAATTGAAAAACCAGATCCTGGAGTTAGTTACAACCCCACTTTGAAAGATCATCAAAAACTACTTTCGAAAGTATTGTCTAAGGAAGAAGAGATTATGAAGCAAGAACGTCATCTGAAAAGAGTTACCACAGATATGTTCTCAAAAGTAACCGTGGCAGAACGTGACAATGAAAAATTGAAAGATATGATATCTGAAATGGGAGCTGAAAATGTAGATAATCCAAACTCCACTCAAAAATGTGACGCAAATATATACAATCCGATAAATCCACCAGTAATTGTAAAAAAGAAAGCTAAACAAACGCGCAGAAAGCAAAAAGAGCAAAAAGAAATACAACGTAACATTAAAGAAAAAAAACTACAACAAAAAAAAATCTCGGACATAAATAAACTGAAAGACATAAATGAAGAAATTCTTGAAGAAGAAAAAATTAAAGATATAGTTAAAAAAAATAAGAAAATTAAACTCAGACAAAAAAAGGTAGAACCAAAGCGATTGGGTAAGTTGAAATTTGATGAGCCGGATATAGAGTTTAACGAAGCTAAAGATATAGCGGGAAATTTGCGAAATATTAAAACAGAAAACAGTCTCTTGGTGCAAAGATTCAAGGTGATGCAAAAGCGAAACATATTACCTGTAAGTGTTGATGTTGGAGTACGTAAACGAAGAAAAATCAAAAGATTTGTAAGAAGCAGCCACAAAGAAATTCCCGCAAGATAATCTAAACCTTAAAGTATAATGGTATTTTATTGATTAATAAAACTTAGATTTTGAAAATTTAAAAAATCGTGAAATTTAAATACTTTTAATTTGAAATACTCTTACAAAGTTTCTTTCGGTAAATAAAGAAATGTTTACAGATAAACGAGAATTAAAATTCGATGAAAACCGGCTCCTTTTGAAAATTAAAAAAATTTGTGAGGTAAAAGGGTATGGTAGTTTTATCAAATTCAAAATCACAAAACATAATAAGTATAAAAACTAGACTATATACATACGTATTTAATTTTTCAATTCCAAAATTTATTTTTGATCATATTATAATAACATAAACATATAAAATATAATCACATACATCGCTTGATCACTGAATAATCTCGCCTAATAAAATAAAAAATATGGCAACTTTTTATAGAGTAAAAAATCTCTGCGTTATAATATCATATAGTAATCCAATAACTTAGTAAATGGCTTTCTTCTGATTTCAAGTTGAAATTTGAAGATTAAAAATATTTTGGTTTGGATTGGTATAACATTTATGGTGAAAAATATTCGAATTGGTTGCAGTCTGGGAAACAAAAATATATATGTGTGATCTTTTTATGGTAATCTTTGGCATTTTTTTCTAATTCGGCCTTATTTAGCCATCAGAAATTGATTTTTTTCCAAAATGTTGTAATTTTAGATCCACTGGTGTCAAAAATACTTTTAACCATAAACACTTGCAGTAATCCAACTGCAATCATAGCACAAATTTGAAATGTTGACCAAGCATTCACCTTATAAAAATTCGCTTCGGCAATCTAAAAGAAAAAGAAGATTTAGTCTTTCCGCCTATTAATATTGCGCAACATATGTAGATGTCTCCATAATTTTACATATTTAATTTATATATGATGTTTTCAACCAATATAATACTCACATTTCGATCTCTAGCTTCGTGAGAACGTATTATATCCTGAATTTGTCTAGCTTTTGTGATCTGTTGCCTAATTCTTCCGATGTAGTTCATAATATCTTGAACTTTCAGCTCGTAAAATTCTTCAGGAGTGAGACCTTCTAAAATATCTTGATTAAATTCACTATTTTGGCCATTCTCGTTTTCTACTATTATTTCAAAAAATATAGTTTTGCTATTGAATGAACTAAAACGATTATCAAAACAAAAACGATAGTCGCCTTCAACTTGAACGGAATGGCGATGAACATTTTCAGATTTTTTGAAATCGGCAAATATAATTCGTCCTATAGGTTCAGTTAATTCGAAGCTAATGAATACAGATAAAAAAATTTTATTAATCAATTTTAAAAATATATTTGAATCATTTACCTTATATCTAGATCGCCTTGATCACCATCAATTACTTGATATTCTATGTCAATAATATCGCCTACCTTTGCAGGATGGTAAAAACAATCTTCTTTCCCAGCCTCAACGGTGATTGTGATTTCTTTATCATAACAATCCCCAAAAGTTAAAATTGTTGTAAAGAATATCAAGATAGCCTAAATTAAATTCTGATCAATTCACTTTAATTTCTTTTTGATTTAAATTGTCAAATTGCATGCAATCTTATAAGCATGAATAGAAACTATTTGGAATTTTAATTTCTGGGATTGTAAGCAGTTAAGGATTCTAGATTGTTTTTAGTTTTTGTGATTATATAAGTTATTGAGTTTTATCTTAATATATTTAATAGACTAATTTTTGAAATATACATATATATGTTTGGAATATCATAAGATTTTTGGTAAACAAATTTATTTTGTTTTCCGGATATTGAACACAAGTAAGTAGATATTTGAAAACTGGCCAAGATATAATTATATTCCTACCTCATACAACAAATTTATACGTACAAATTTTAATATATTATTTATTATTTGTAATAGCTTAAGGTATAGATAATTACTGATTTCAAAATATTATAAAGAAATTATTTAAATCTAACAAGAGCAAACTAATTGCGACACTTTACCTTCATTATAAAAATCCTTAGGACTGTGGTTACCTTTTCAATTTTCAAAGATTTTTAGACTTCTTGCAACTTCAAAAAAAAAAATTGTTTACATTATCGGATGTATTTGACATTTCCCATGAATTAGTTTATTTACACTAGTGTTTACACACGAATTAAAATTTTTAATTTGTAGTCTAGAAAGTAAATAGAGTTGCCAAAACTTTGAATGATGTAAATTTTATTAGATTTCAAAACTAAAGCTATTAAAGTAAAAATTATTTTAAGTATTTTAGTTAAAAAAGAAAAACAATATTACTTTTGTTAGAAGTAATGTAAATGAGGTTGTTCCTTCTAATAAGAGACATAAGGATTTTGAATTAGTCGTGGCCAGTCTATCGCAATTTTGAATTTAATATCAAATATGTATAAGAATTTTTTCATTTACAAATTTGAATCGAACACACCTTATGTTCAACGCATTCCTTTATTACATTTCACCAAGTTACCCAAAATACTGCAAGGCTTGTATATCAAGAGTCGTTTGAAATTTGTCTGTCGGATGTAAGAATGGAACTGTTGTATTTTTGACAAATCATTGAACTTCTACCAAAATATGTGGTATTATTTCTATTGTTAATTTGAATAATTCAGCACTATATAACTTTAACTGCTGAATATAAATATATCTCTTATTTGGTGATTCCGTTCTAGGAAATTATATACATACCTACATAACATTTCCTTAATTGATTTTTCATGTTTGACATTTAATTTTTTTAAAATAAAATCAAAATTAGCAGATTTCATCCCATACGCATAAATAATAAGTTCTAAATTTTGCTGTATATGAATTATAAGTAGGTAGATACAAATGTTATCTGTTTTGTTATACCCCGCTTAAGTTTTTACTAAAGTTTAGTACCATTATTTAGGTATTAAGACATTATATTCCAAAGAGGGGATAACTTTTTCTTTGGTTTTAGCTTAGATTTAAAATTTCTGTTCTTGCGTATACATACATACATACATATATATATCAATTTATAAAGGTATGTCGTTTTTTGAAAATTTAATACTACATACCACTCTAATACTTCAAATTATATTAAGACAAATAAATGTTATCAGTTTTTTTTAAATATCACTACATTGGCTCAGTAATATATTAAAAAAAAAACATATAACTCGAGTAGGTACTACATATGTATGTATGTATTTAGTTTAAGTTCAGAGCTCATTTCCACTATCAATTTAGTATTTTGTCAAGATTAGTCTGTCTAATGGTCATTAAAACTTTCAACAGAAAATCATTTAAATTTTTGAAAAACAAAAAAAAAAAATTTATTCAATCTTTCACATAATTTCGAAAATATTTAAGTGTAAGATTTATACAAAACTTGTACGCAAATAATTAACAAATTTTTGTTAAGTTGTCATAGAAAAGTCTTTGAAAATCTTTTCCAAAAAGAATATATGTAAATGCTTACTTTTGCTTAAATTAAGCTCGAAAGAGATCGCTTATCCGCTTAAAGCCAACTTCAAATAATTAATAGGTATATCGAAAACACTTATAGCATTAAAAAGCAATTTTTATTCTTCAAATGTCATTCTTGGAATTCCATGATTTTTTAAGTATCTTCTATAAGATTTATATCTTGGATTTTCTGCTAAAGATTTTTTCACTTCCTCTTCTTGTTCTTTATGCCATTCATCAAACGGCTCTTTTTCCCACAGTTTTAACTTCAAATAATGTTTTATTTCACTTTCATCTAATGCGTTAAATTGGTGCTCTCCCATTCCCATATTTTTTCTAATCAAATATAGCTTTTGTTCTTCTTCATATGGCCGCTTTAAAATGTTGAATTTCCAAATCCAACTTATATACCACGCTATGTACTTAAGTACAGTATAGGGCAAAATAATTAATTGAATCCAAAGTATATCTAGAATTGACGGTTTAGCATAAGCACCTTTAATATCCATTTTGTCTTCAATAACTTTCCGAATAATTTTTTCTAATTCTTCCTTTTGCTCAGTTTTTGATAGTTTATTTCTTCCTTTTTTATTAATTCTCTGACTAATTTCATCTTGTGCCATTTCCATTGCTTTATTTCTGTATTTAGGGACTGTTGTAAAATGCTTTATTGCCGATTCGTATCTTTGCCAACCAGAATAGTACTGAATTATAGAAATTATGCTAATGCTAACTATTACGACAAGTCTTACATCAATCTGCGGTGCTATTCTTCTGCGATAATCTAAAATTTTTATATAAAATCATTAAATTAAGTGTTGAGTTTGAATATGTATATTTGTGAATTGATACTAAATAAATAAATAAAATAAATAAATAAAAGTTTATTAAAATCAACTTACATCTATAATAATGAGCATAGTATTCCTCGGGATTATCGAGCATATTATCATAATCAGCTTTCGAACCCTCATCTTTCAAGATTTCATAAGCTGTTGCTATCAATTTAAACTGTTCCTCAGCAACTTTCTTTGCTTCTACACCTTGATGCAAATCCGGATGATACTTTCGAGCTAGCAGGCGATAAGCCTTCGCTATTTCTTGTTTTGTGGAATCCCTTAATGAAGGAAAATCTTTTTATAAGTTTTAAATGACTACAACTTTCTACAGAATATTAAAACATGCTACATAATATGTATACATAAACATGAGAAAGAAAATGTTGCTTTGCAGTTTTTTAAACACCTAAGGTGTCATAAGTAATGTTTCAAGTTTTAATATGCTGATTTTCCTAGTTAAAGTTAAAATTTCTTTAAGAACTACCGTTTCTACTTTAAAATATATTAGATATTTTATTTATCAGGGACATTTATTTCCGATTTTATCAAAAGTTTCATATTTTGAAAATGTGATTATTTACCTTGTTACTCCAAGAATATCGTAGCAATTTTCCTTTCCACAGTATATGCTATCAAATAGTGCAAAAGTTGGCATTATAAAATTAAATATTAATATAAATATAGTGAAGCTATTATTTAATTTATTTTTTAACATTTTATATAGAAAAAAAAGCGTATTAGTGCCACGTAAAAAAATCAAAATATTCTAAATTCTAATAAACCGGCCAAAAAAAAGGTTCATTGCCTTTATTTAACAAACTGAAGTGTAACTAAAACAGCTGATTAAATATTACGTAAATTTACTGGGTTCAGTTACAAATAATGTTGCCTGCTAAACTTTCAATTAAATAGTAGAATGATTCACAGTTGCAAAAATGAATTATTGTATAATAAATAGTAATGAGAATAATAGGAAAAGTTTTATTGAGGATACAATTCACGTTTATTCGTTCCATTCGTCTAGGAACTGAGGAATTCTTAGAGTTTCTATGGTTTCGGGGTCGTCGGTGTGTTACCCATTCTTCTAGCGATTCTACGTCGTTTATATTTGGTTTATCTGCGGTTTTTTCTAATTTTGATGCCTACAGGATCGTTTAAACTCGGTACCATTGCACTGAAGAATAATGATGTTCTGCGGTTGTTGTAGCGACTGGATTGTGAGAGAGAAATCTATTTTGTTCCTTTGTTTTTTAAGTATTTAATATAGAATAAGTAGAATACGTTTCGAATATTCGAAACTAACGCGAATAAAACAGAAAACCAGTGATGCAACTTTAGCGACTTTATCTCTATATCTATTGCAATTGTTACAATTTTGCTATAAAAAAATAAAAAGAAAACTAAAAAAAAACACTAAATGAGAAATCTTTAGTTTTATGGCAGATTAAGAATTCAACAGTAAATTTCTTGTTTCATTTGTGCTTTTTCTGAATTATGAAATACGATAGTTTAAGAAATGAATTTTTCTATCGTATAAATATAATAATTTCTTGAAACTTATCTTTATTGAAAACGAAAAAAATTAATGAGTTTTGTTTAAATTTCCTGATATGAGATTTATTTCAAAATTATAAACAGATATTATAGATTCTATTGTCATTATATAAGAAATGAAATGAAAGTTTAAATAAGAGGTTAATTTCAAATAAAGGTTTTGAATCATAATCGCTTTACAGATTACACAAATTTTATAATGGAGACCAGATTAGAAAAAAAATAACTACGTTTAACATAGTAACATATTTAAATTTAACGTTATTGAAATACCTCAATATTTCGTTCCCTTATCAAATACTTGAATATCAACGTGAAGTCTGTCCAAGTTAATGTTAAGTCTGTCCAAATCCAAGACGAACTTCTATAAATAATTTTCATTTGATGCTTTGATAATTTCAAAAAATTGGCAATAAACCGTGACAACACTCATTTACTCGAACTTATTTTGAATAAGATTGTGTGACATAACTCTCAATTTTTTGCTGTCACATATCTATCTGGAATGCATAATTTAAAATTAATTAAAATTAATTTTAATTTAAAATGTATTGTAATGAATTATAAACTATAGTTCATTATGAATTACTTTTATTATCTTAGACAGGTTTTTTTAAACTCGAGTCTTTGAAAAACTTATCCACCAATTTGACATAATGTCAATTATTGGAACAACTACATAACAATTACATTTCTGCAGTGAATCAAGCATTTCAAAACTAAATAAAAATATGTAAATAACAATAAACAAGAGGTTTGGTTTAGTACATCTCATTGTAAGTTTATGATTTTAATAAATTCAATGAATTAATAAACTAAATTTCATTTAATGGTAGATGTCTCTTAATGTATTAAATGAATTGATTTTGGATCATTTATTTGGTAAAGACCAAATTAGTAAAGTATACATTTCAAATTCAATCAAAAAGCATTCCCACAATTTGAAGGAAAATGGGGATTTAAGTTTTCCTTTGGATTACGAAATTTGGAAAAATAAAATATTGGATAAATCGTTAAGAGAAGATAAATTAGAAGAAAATTGTGTGACCCTGGTTGAAAAAAGTCAACAATGGCAAATACCTATCGAAAGAATTGACTTTAAAAATAGTAGATGTCTACTATATTTAAATAAGCTTAAAACTATCCAATTTGTTTTTAAAGAAGTTTTGGAAAATAATTCGTTCGGAAAACAAGAACTAAAACATAATTTTCAAGTTATATTTCCAATTAGCAATAATACAGACTTAACTAATTGGAGAAGGAATTTAGTAGCAACAACGTTAAATAATGTATTGGAATTTTGTAGAAGTAATGAGACATGCTCTTCGCCTAATGCTAACACCGTTTGTTACCTAGATTTTTCTGATAAAAAAACCAATTATGAAGACAGAAGTGTTGCGATGAGTTGCGGATTGGTAGTTGATGCTTCTACGAAGAAGAAAACCAATTTATGTTTTCATGATTATTTTTGGTAAAGACATTATTTTCTTTTTTGAAAAACAATTAAAATATCAGCAATTTGTTTATTAATTTAACGGTCTATAGTTTTGAGGGATTTTTTTTAATTTTAAAAACGCAGTTCGTAAACTGTGGAATTTTTAATATTTTGCAATTGCAGAGAATTTTTTTTCTATTTAATGTAGCCAAATAGATTTCTAATATAGTAACCATTTAGAGCAGTGCTGTCCAAGTTGTAACTGCGAAGGGCTACTAAAATTTTTAAACGGGCCGTATCCGAACTACCGTTTGGACAGCACTGATTTATAATATCTCTTTTTATCTTTAAAAATGATGCAATTTGAAATTCACAGCATATAATTGAATTTAGTTCTAGAAGAAGAGACATGCAATTGATAGCAATGCACAAATATGGTATAAGAATGCAAGGTGATACATGTTTTGCAGAATTTTTAGATAAACTTGGATCAGCCACAGTAACAATAGATTTGTTAGAAGTTAAACACACAAGTCCTATTCAAGTGAGTAACGAAAAGATGAGCAATTCAAAGGGTACGAATTGTATAATTTTAACTCAATTTTGTGCTTCATCACATAAAAATGTTTTTTCAGGAGCTTCTTTTATTTTATATAATTGTGCTAGACTTGAAACTCTTCTAGAAAAGTTTAACGACCGAGTAGCAAAGAATTTTTATTCAGAGCTTCCAGCATTATCAGAGACTGACCTAACGCCTTTACTTGAAGAAGTAGGTATATTTACAAATTTTGCTGCTTACGAATTTCATATAATTTTCATGTAGGAAGAGTGGCTAATGGTTTATGATTTTATCCTGTATTTTCCTGACATGATTTATAGAGTATTAGAGAACTTAGAAAATGGTCGATGTGCACTACACTTAATTCCGCAATTTTTAAGTAAATTAGTTTCGTTATTTAGTGTTTACTACAGAAGAGTTAAAATTTTAGTTGTATGTAAGATTACCTTACATTTCGTTTTAAACTAATAACATATTTTTTCTAGGACAATCGTCATAATTTGATAACTAACTTGTTTGCCAGAATTTATCTTTTAAGGTGTGTGCAAAAAATTTTTAAGATAAGTTTGAAATTTCTCAATATAGAACCTATTCACAAAATGTAAGTTTTTTAAGTAGCTTTTTGCAAATTAAATTTACAAAAAAAATAAATGTTGGTTTTTCTGTTGGCTTTTTATTGGCAATTCACCGAGCTTCACTAAGGTTTTCTTTTATTTCTCTGAGTCTTTATTTTGGAAAAGTTGAAAACGAGTTCTTTCCACATTAGTAATGTATTTTTAATTTAAAAATGCTATAAATAGAAATTAAAAATATTGATTTACTTGTTAATTTGGTTACCAGTTTTACGAGTAAAATGAAATAAGAATTAAAATTAATGCAAATTGTAGTTATAGATCTTTCTATTGAGTACATTTATTGTTTTGTAAAACATTCCAGCCATCTTGGATGAAGATAAAAGTTTGAGAGTGAGCGGAATCGAATATTTATTCCGTTCTAAAACATATTTCGTGTGTAACATACGTACTATGACAAAGTTTATCAAAAACATAAAAGCTTAAAAAGATGTCTATTTGTCTACAACCAACATAAATAGTTAAATATGTGTCTGCATTTTACAGACATTTCATTAAGTCAAATCCATACACAGTTAACAAAATATAATGTATTGAAATTTTCGGCTTGTATAAATGTTGAACCTAATTTGCCAACAAAAAAATAAAAAGTAAATAGACAACAAATTTTTATTTTAAATTTTTTCCAATTGCTTATATAAATTAGTTTAAGAACTACTATGAAATAATTTTAACACTTAATACAGAAAATTGAGTTGATTATTGATTTTTGTTCAATTACGTCCATTTAATTTTAATATATAATCGATATTTTGTTCGTTACTCAAAAAAATTTCTTCTATTAAATTAGTATTTCCTAAGGTATTAGCTTTAGTACCAAGGCACATATCGTACTGAAGAGCCTCCAAATTAAAATCACAATCTATTTCGTGATACACATGAACTAGGGATGGATCTGGTGACCTGAATACGTGTAATTTCTTTCTTGTCTGATTCAAATTGATGAAATTAGTTTCAGCATCGGCTGTGTTTTGCAAAATTAAATTTTGTTTGTATGAATTGGCAATAATTTTTTCTAAAAACTTCACATCCTCCAAACCCCATCCATAAATGTCTATGTCAAGCCCGTTGATCTCAGGGCTCATTATGTCGGATTTATAAATAGAGCAAATCCCAAATCCAAACTGCCGGAAAAATCCTCTTTCATTTAAATCATTTTGATAAGATGCCCTTCTATTCTTGTTGTATTCACTAAACACAATTGGTAAGTAAACTTGCTTCCCTTCTATTGTGTTTAATCTAATTCTGTCCAAAGATTCTTGTGTAAAAGACATATCAACGTCAATAAAAAATATTATTTGCTCATTTTTGATATAAGAAGATCTCACAGCTTTATCTAAACCTAAACCCCGAGAAAAATTTCCTACAATTCTTATGAAATTTATTTCCTCGTAAGCATGTTTACTTTTTAAACTTTTCAATATTTCAATATGTTCTTTTACTTCTTCATCATGCCCAAATATTATTACCAAGAGATTACAATTGTGATCAGAGTTTATAGCAATTTTCTCATAGTTACGGATAAAATTCTTATATGACTCTATTCGACCTTTTATTGGTAAGGTAAAAGCTATTTTAGATTTTATGTCGTTCATTTGAAAAACGGGTAACGAAAACGAATTAGATATTTTTGCAAAACCTGTGTTTAAAATATTTTTAAACTTAGATGAAAATTCTGAATTATTTGCGCCTAAAAAAAAGTAAATTTGTTTTATTATTAGCATTGAAAATTGTATTATTTATTAAATAATCAACTCACTCATTTGGAAAGTTAAATTAAAAAAGTTTTCATCAAATTCTTTGACGAAAATACTTGTAAAAGACCTTTGAATGTAGAGATGTCTACGAACGGGTACAGTCATTTTTTTTCCTCTATATTTTTTGTAAATTAGTAGTAAATCTAGAATTAAATCTTGACCATGTACTGGATTTAATCTTGAATAACCATACAAGAGTTCTCTAAACTCTATAACCCTCCCACGTTGTCTGGAAAAGTTATTAATGTGTTCCATAATTTCTATTATAGCATCTTCTAAACCTTCTTTGGTTGTACCATCGATTTTTCGTTTAGGATTAGAATGATATGCTGAATACAAGCTTCTTGCAATGAATTCCCAAGTTAAAATTTCATTTGTGTTATTTGGAAGAAATTTGTTCAAATCTGGACTTATACCTGATAAATTAAAAAGATTATCAATTTTTGGTTTTCACGTAAAAAGAAAAAAAAAGGTTTTACCCAGTACGGTGTGGTCTTCAAAACGTTCCTCACCACTTAGTGGAGAATATAGTGGAACACCAGGTGCTAAGTATTTATCAGATATCCCATTTAATGATAAAAGTTTGGACATTTTAATTATATCCCTGTGTACATATAGAGATTCCTGACGAAGTTCGTGCGCTTTCAAGCCTTGAATATAAGAATGTAGCCTATACATTAAAGGGGCTTGTTTCACCGGATGCAAAGAAATGGCGCTGTTAACATCTTTTTTTTTTAAACTTCCTGTGAATGCAGTTTTACCGCTAGAGTTATGTCTCATTATATATTGCATCTAAAAATATGTACATATATACTTTTACAGAAATATTTGAATTCAATTTACATTTAAAATTTTACTTCATAATTCCATGTACATGGAATGCCGGCGAATTTTTGAACGCATCTTCCGATTTCTACATCCTCATGAGTGCTATAGAGATTCTTTAAACAGGCCGGTATATGTGGTGCAACTGTTTTGTAACAAAAGTTCATATATGAAAATTTATATACAAACGCAAATAAATACCACGTCTTAAAGTTTCTCGGCTAAGAATAACACCTGGTCCTCCCATACAAAAATTTTCATCAAATTCTAGCGATAAAAGACCAAATTCCTCATTATTTCCTTTTCCAGCTTGTCCTGACAGAATGTTACGTGCAACAAAAAAAAAGGCCAATTATCAAAATTATGTAGAGGTTTCTCATGATTTGTTTACTTTTATGATCATTGAACAAAAAAATACATGCATTTTATTTTACCTATAAATTGCGGCTTAGAGCTATCAATTGATCTAAGGAATTCTTCCAAGTTTGAAACATCCATATAAACATCGTCATCTGCTCTTATAAACCATTCAAATTTGTCAATGAAATGTTCATACATGTAATATAGCATCATAAATGATTTTTTTTGAGGAGGATATCTATCGTCTACATTTTTTAGATCTATAACGGGAATGCTGGAAGAATATGATCCTTCTGAGCTAAAAAAAGCTATTCGCCCAGGAACTTCTTTACCCTAAATATGTAATGTATTTAGAATAGCGTTAGGCTTTTTTACTGATAATAAATATTTACCCAAGTGTCGAAAACGGCTTTTGCTCTGCCATTCAAAAAATTTTTTGCAGTCATTACGCCCACAAAAACAAAATTTTTTTGAGAGTTATAAATTGTCTCATCAGAACTCATACCAATAATTTCTAAGGCGCCTATAAAAAAAATACAGTAAGTATGCATCTTAAAATTGTATTATAGATTAGAATTTATTTATGTACTTCTTGTTTGTGTGGGTCTTATTTTACATCTTTTGACGATTTCTAAAGCTCTATAATTTTTGAATACTGTTCCAATACACAAACCAATGGCTATCCCAAAACAGGAAAATATAAAAGTTTTTCGTTTTGACATTGCTGAACGTTTCTTCATTTTCTGAAATAGTTGTTCAATATTACCTTAAAATAACAACTAAATTAACATTAACAATACTTTTAATTATTTTCACTTGTTAAGTATGTGTAAATGATATGATCGTTCTATAGAAAACACACATCAATTGAAAAATTTGATTTAATGGCAATTAAGTTTACCCTTTACTTTACCAAATACATATACTTCTATATAATAAGATATAGAATATTTAAATGCCATGAAAGATCAAAAAAGAAATAATCAAGCAAAAGATTAGGAAGTTTACTTTTGCCGTGTTTAATCATGATACTTCTAATTTCGCTTCTAATCTTTACTTGGACGCTACACATTTATTTAGATTAGCAAGATTTTTCCCAAATTATTTTTCTCCAAATTAAGAAATGAGCAAGAACTATAAATGGATCTAAAAACTTGCAGAATTTCTTTATTCATATTATGTATATAGGCACCTACCTACCAACCTATATTGATTTTTGTGAAACTCATATATTTCACGGAGCAGATCCGTACGATTATTACATTTATTGAAGGAACGTGCGTAAGGTACTTACGTAGATATCTATATAAATATTTTTCCTAAATTACCTATATAAATATTTTTATTATAAAATTATTTTTTTTCAGACTAATTGTCCAACGTGTTCTATACGTTTAAGTTTTATATACTTTAATAATGCTGCACAAGCAAATAAAATATGTATATCAAAGATATGTAAGTAGGTAATTATAAAATAATTTTACAAGGAATATACATACATACATAATATACCTTAAACATACTTTTCAAATTTAGATACAAGTTCTATTGCATAAAATTTATAGTATATGCTGATACTTACCTTTCTAGAAATATATGTAAATTTTGGAGTATGTATTTAAATCACAAAAGTAATTATTCAACTGATATTTCAATATTCGTAGTTGAATTGAGCATTCTAAATAATAATTTTGAGGATATTTATATTGTACCCATACCGGAAACTTTACATGTTTCTTTTTATATAGATATACACAACTGAATTAAGGAATGATTCTTGGATAGAAACATTCATACATACATATGTATGTATATTATTAATTTATAAAACAATATTTCAAAAATATGAAAACTTTTTACACTTTATTTTCGTTAATGAAGATTACATGTCGAAAAAAAATTAAAGGCAAAAATGAAGGAAATTCTATATTTATTGCACAATAACAATTTATTATTATATTCTAACGCTCAATTCGTCAAACGATCATATCGATCAATTTAATCAAATGTGACATTGACGTAATTTAAAGTTACCAGAGATTTTTTTTTAGAAGAAGAGAAAATAGTCATTTTACGATGTGTCAGTGTCAAAACAAAACTAACGCGTACTAAATACTACTTTAACTGAAATAACACAAATAAGTTTATCGAACAAGAAATTAAAATAGTAAAGTTCCGCACAAAACATTTAAAATCTTAATTTTAATGATGTTTAATTATCAATAGACTGGCTAAATTTTAGGCAAATTTATCCGATTTACCCAGTTTCCGTTAAAAATTTTTATAACTCAAGTGCTTAAATGATTTTGACAATCCATTATTTTAGTAAAATAAGTTAAAATTTTGAAGGAAACTACTTGAACAGATTTCCTAAAAGAGAAATCTGTTTGAATTTTGGGGGAAAAATGTTTTTTGGATTGCCAGTTTAGATCTTAATGGGTCTATTAAAATATTATATTAATTAAGGTTGCTATTTTCGGAACGTTTACACTAAAGACAAAATACATTTGATACACAACGAAAAAGTTATGAAAAATTTTGCATCTGTTTAGGATGATACATGAAAAAAGGCATCTCGGTCCAAGGACCGAGTGCAACATCAAGCATAATGTTAAACTTTTGTAATTTCAGGAAACAAATCTAATACTTTGTGCTATATATTCAGATATTATTTCAAAATGATCTACTAAAAAGGTTATTTGATCTGTTGAAAAAGTCAGTGGTCAAATTTAAACCCTGTAGAACTTTTAGGAAAAAGACAAAAAATACACTTTAGAAGATTTATTTTCCTGGTCAAAATATTTCAGCATTAAATTATTTGAATTGGATATCTGTCGCTGTCATTTGACAACACGCTGCACTAAATATTAAATAAATGAAGTTTTAAATGCGGCGGGGAAAAAACGTTAAGAAACAAAAACTAAACAAAGTTTGTTATTAAAAGATGCTGTATGAAAATACCTGTGCAATATGTACATTTTGTTCAAAAGACGTTTCTTTTCATAATTTCTTTGATTTTTTAGATGACCTTAAAAATTCCAAAATTTTATTGATGTGAGATTTATTGATTTTAATAATGTATCCCAAAAAAAGACATTTTTTTCAAAATTTTTCGATAGTAAAAATTAGCGGAAGATGAAAGATCTTTTGCTAACAACAAATAAGACATAAAAGCAAACTGATCTGTCAAAATCTAAACTTTCAAATTTTTTTGTGTATAACAAAATTTAAATTTAAATTTATGTAAATGGAAATTGTGTTTTAGAGAGGCAATGCCGTCATTTTGAATTAAAAAAAGTTTCAGCTTGAATTCCGATTTAATTTCAAAGTATTAAGAAATTTATGGTAATTTTTGAATCTAAAATAAATAGAATTTATAATTATGTTTTGGTAATAAAGGCTATATTTTATACTATTTTTTTTTCTCTTACTACAAAAAAAATTTTTTTGTTTAAAATACAATTTATACATATTTGTAAAAAAAAAAAAAAAGAATTTTTTCGAATGAATTTAAACCCTTCTTAATAACATTTTTAAATAAGAATATTTAAAAAGACTTTAATTTTTAAATTTTTTACTTTTTTTTTGTTTTGTTTTCATTTCTTATTTAATTTTGTTCAGTAAGGATATTTAAAGCTTTGTTTTTAATAAAAAATAACATTATTAAATCTATAGTTATGTTTATTCATTTATATAATATGAATTTTTTTTTTATACATAATGAATGTATTATAAATAAAAAATAATCAATTACTAACATTAATAAATAAATTTTGTTTTTTTTTTTTTGTGTTTTTGTTTTCTTTTTGTATATTTTTGCAATATTTAAAAATGTTTTTTTTTCTTTTCTGAACTTTCTTTTTTTTTTTATGTGCTTGAAACAAATTGACAAACAATTCAACAATTTAGTTTTCGGTAGTTTTTATTAAAGTTAATTTTTTAATTTGACTGTTTTTATTTCATTTACGATATTATTTACGATATGTATTGTAACCATTTTTTTTTTAAATTGACTATTCTTATAAATCGTATTTAATAAATTAATTATTAAATATTTTAACATTAAATAATAATTATGCTTGAAAAATTATTCGATTATTAGTTCAATTTATACATTATATTTACCATTCTATTGGTGTTACCGTTTTGTTGCTAATGTTTTGGTTTGGTTTATTTTAATTGTTATAAATTTGTTTCAATTTTTTTTTTGTATTTTTTTTTTTGTTTGCAATACTTTTGACTAAAATAAATTGCTGCGAAGCGTTTAAGTAAAATATATATGTATATACATATTCATACATACATACACACATACATATATATATATATATGTATGTATATAAATTTTATTTTGTCAGTGTTTTAATCTCGTAAATTAATTTAGTATAATAGGCTTATTAAATAATATACGAGAATTGTGCGCAAGAAGATTCTTTTTCACTACAAATAATTTTGGTGAAATGATTGACAATATTGATCAAACAAATTAGTGTATAACTATGTTTTTTTTTGGTGTTTATTTTAAATAGGATTGAATTTATTGTCTGAATTTTCTTTTTGTTTTATGAAAATTCAATATATTTATGTACATATTTTTTTTTTTTTGTAATTTTATTTCAAAAATTCTTTTTCTTTTATTTGTAATACAAGTTGCCTTCTTGGCCTCACATTATCTATATATACATTAGTTTTGTGGAAAAATATTATATTGGTTGCTTTTGAAAAACAAAGGTATAAATTCATTATTATTTTTTTTTCAATATACATACTTATATATATTACAATTTAAATTCATTTTGTTTCTTTGTTTATTGCTGTTTTTTTTCACAGGCAGTCATTTTTTATCCTATTTAAAAATACATGCACATATAAACTTGTATTTTTACATAAGTATCTTCGTGTATAATAGTTAAATAGTCTTCCTAAAATTCTATTTTTCAGCTTCTTTTCGTATGTGTCGATCGACTTGTTGTTGTTTTTTCTATTTCTAATGTGTTTTTATCCTCTCGATCCCTGTGTAATTTTCGATGTCCTCCATGTCTTCGTTCTCTGCGACATTGCATTGCTGTACAGCATTCATCGATTTCATTATTATTCATTATATCCTTTTTTTGCCCTTTTCTTTTACCTGTTCCACGATTATTATTATTACATAATGCTCGTAAACATTTTTTTCTACCACAAGTTACTTTTCCATCCTAAATAAAATAAAAATAAAAATATGTTAAAAAAAATATTCATTTTCCAATTTTAAATCAAAAGTTTTGGTTATGCGATAGTCAAACCTAGCTCAGTAATTAATCTGTAATTCTGATCTAGATTTGTCAGGTCTAGATATTATTTTTATAGTAAAAGTTATTAATGAAACGTGTAGTTACATATAATAAATCTTACCTTGCATCTGCAATTAACACATTTCTGTTCACCATGTGATGCTATAATTGGATGCCATTCCTGTCCATTTTCATAAAACACATTTATTACTTTGCAACCCCCGTTTGCTAAAATTTCTTCATTACGTTTCTGAAAACTTCTGATCGATCCTTCGTCGCGTAAATAATTTTGATTATTATTATTTTCTGCATTTGATGAATTTTTTTCTACGTTATTTAATGATCTTGATTCAGGACAAATTTTACAGCAAGCTTTTTTATCTGGTCGGTAAGCAATTTTTTCTGGACAATCTAATTGGGGGCATACAATTCTTGGGCATTGAACTTGTAATGTATTTGGATCACATACACATGTTGTACAAATATCGAAACCCATTGGTGGTAGATATGGATGCCAGGTTGCACCAGGTAAATATATTTCATTACCTAATTGACAACCTTTATTTGAATTATTAAAATTTGATATTATGGCCGTATCTTGAAGAAATTTGGTTGAAATACATGTTGGACAACATTCTCCTTCACGTGTTACTAAATGTTCATTTGGTTTACATTTTGGATTAGGACATTTAATAGCGTCACATATTACACGACCATATTGACAAGTGCACATTGTACAAATTTCACGGGTACTTCTCCATTGTTCCGCTTCATCGTAAAAGCGACCTGAGTGAAAACATTTTGTTTCATGTGACAATAGCATATTATCGTTATGATCATTTGGTATTACGTTAACATTTGGAACATTATTGTCAGTAAAAACTGGATAACAATGGCTTGGAACTTTTGTTGATTTTAATTTACCACGCAATAGTAATTCTTTTGAAGCTTTTGAATAAATTTCTAAATAACAAACACTTGATTCTAATTTAGCTAATTCATTATATGGCATATTCAAAACAAATCCTTCTAAATGTGTTCCAGAGAATTCTTCAAGTAATTTCCTTGAAATTGGTGCACCGATAGCTTCAATAGGTTTCTCTTCTAAATATATTTGAAATATTTGTTGATTATTGTTAATCCCACTTATGGTTACTTCATAATGAAGATTACATTCATTATCTATTGCAATCCAAGCCATACCCATATAATAAGTATTGGATGGATGAGCTAATGATTTATGGTGTTTTAACAATATTGGCTCTGATGAATCTCTAGCATCGGCGACATATCGTGATGTTAGTCGTCCTCGAATTACCTGTGTGTTGTTTTCTAATGCAATATTCACACCCAAATCACCTGAATATAAAGCTTCTAAAACTCTTGGTCCTAATTTATCGACAGTACCAATAGCCTGATTATAATTAAAATTTGCTGACAAATCCTCGAGTATTCCTTTTTTTCGTCCATTATCATCAGTTAATGTAATATTTGGTCGTTCTGATTCTCTTAATTCATTTGTTTGAATATTATAGGCTAATGAACCGTCTGTGTTTAGATAAACCCATGCAAGACCACTGTTTGTCCTTACAATGCTATTTGAATTTTGATTTGATGGAGTTAAAAGTGTTTGGAAAAGTTCACAGGTTGCCCGTGTTATAATATGACCTTGGATTTTTAAATTCAAATATTTTCGAGATTCAACTGTTAAAATTAATTTTCCACGACCTAAAAGTCTTAAATTTTGTATTGAAATCGGAGATGATATTTCTAATATATTTATTTCTGGAGAAGGTTTTTTAATTTTTTGAATTTCATCTAATATAATTTCTTTCCTTTCTGGTGATTCAATTCTGATATTTATGGGTACATCAAAAGTATCATCTGGACCGAATATACCATTAAATACAATTGTTAAATGAACTGAAGATGCAGCACCACTTGTAGTTGAAACAATAGCTGTACCACCAGATCCATTCATTTGTTCCGGTATAGTTCCAATTCCAGGTTCCAATAATGAACTAAATAATTCTGTTGATAAAGCAGTATAACGTGCTATTCTACCTGCCAATGCTAATTCTGATTGAAATTTTCTATCCCATAGTAATATAACAAATAATTTTTCATCTCTTAAAAGTCTCTTGTAGTCACGTGGTATCCGTCTCCATACACCACAAATTTTACCAGTTGAATTTTGATAACTACTTAAAAGTCCATTTAAAGGTGTCATTAAATTGTGTTCCTCTAATATATTTCCAATATTATCAATAAATTGTATAGCTCTAGGCCGAACTATTTTACTTGACAAATAAAATGAATAATAAAGATTTTTCTTATGAAACGTAAATCTTGCTGTTGCAATAGCATTTTGAGGATTATTTATGGAATACATTGATTTCATTTCCTCAAGCTTTAAAAATGCCGATGTCCTTCCAGTTAATAGAGCGGCGAAATCTACAACAACAAAAAAAAAGAAACAATAAGTAAGAGTGTAAGAAATAATTCATTAAAATATAAAAAATCACGTACTTAGGATTTATAATAAATATTAGAATTTCCATTTTACGTGCATATGTAAATGCTAGCATGTTATTTACATACATACATATTATATACATGCTGACATACTATTGTTTATTTACAAAAATAACATTTATACTTACGTTTCATGTTGCGCTCTTCCTCATCTGCATTTACCTGGACAGGATAATCCTGAGGTATTTCCGTTTCTGTGGAAAAATAAACAGAAAATTTAAGTAAATGGTAGATCAAATTAATGCAATTTTTATTTTAAATTTTTATTTCCTAAGAACTTTCGACAATGTGTATTGTATAGAAATACAAATAACCTTTTTTAAAGTCGTTTAACAAAAATAACGATATTATTATTAAATAAAAGAATGGGCTCGGTGTGATATTTTACAACTTTTGTTCTATTGTTTGTCAACAGCTTGTGAATGAATTCATTGATACCCATATATGTAGAGCTATGCAAAGGAAATTTCTAAGAATTTTACTAATTGGTAGATATTTTTTTTTGGTATACGATCGGGCAAACAATTAAAACTCGAATAACGGAAGAAGACTTAACAAATAAATTTTTGAAATTTTTAATGCATTCCTTTTACTTTAAAACCATTAATTCTGTTTTAAGAAGTAAAAATGTTGAAAATAATAACAGGAATGCAATTTATGTAGAGTTAATTGAAAAATCAAAGAACAAAATTTATGGTAAACTTTAATTAAATTTTTTAAAATTTTACTTTGAAATTAATCCTCTTTTTATTTATAATAGGATAAAAAATAATACTTTTTGTAAAATAAATTTAAATAATTGATTGTTTCAATTGAATTGTTGTGTTGGAAAAACTAGAAAAGGTACAAATTCTAATTCTTATTTAAAGAAAAAGTCGATATACTCAATAATAGCGCTATAGTTTATGGTTCTAGAGACTTATATGAGGTATACGAAGATAAATCAATTTTGCAAACGAACTAATCTACCGACTAGTGTACATTTGCGTATCTATAAAGTTGTCTGAGCTGGATTTCTAGGGACATTTTCGCATTATTCCTATTACGCAAGTTTTTACAACAAAGAGGATAAATACAAAAACACTTTAAATTCAAGAAAGACTTTTGGAAGCAAAAAACATTCGATTTGGCTACAAAAATTCTGAAGTAGGTAACTGGAAATAGTCCTCAAAATATAAAATATAAAATTATATTAATGTTATAATAATTTTTAGCATGTCAAATCATGGGTATTTGCCAAAAACAAGTTAACCGGAATGCAATTTAAATGCTATTAAACTGTTTATGACAAATACCCTAGAAATGTCAAATTTTATGTGGTATAAAATAAAAATATCTTTGAAATTACAAAAATAATTTAGTCTGCAATCTAATGTTAATTATATTTAATAAATTATTAAATTATAATAAGCACATACATTAAAACATATAAACTTTACTTAGAACACGAATTAGAATGAGAAGTGATTATTGAAATAAGAGCCTGGACGATTTTGTTAAATGTACTTTGATAATTCAAAGAATAAACTAAAACTGAAAAAATATTATAAAATCGAAATGTGTGAAATTAGTGATGACAACTTCTAATTTTTTAAAAAATAAAGTAAAATTTTAAAAATTCTTATATAAAAAATCGAAAACTTAAAAATATTTTTCTCTTAATCATTTTTATTTCGATTATTTTCTTACAAGTACAAATGTGTGTGTGTACATAAAATGAAAAATATCGACAATATTATTCACATAGTATATACATGATCTTCATCCCAATCAATTCAAACTTTATAAAATTTATATAGCCAATATTTATGGAATTTTTTTTTAAGTATGTATGTATATAAAAAATATAAAGACACATTGTTGCTATTGAAGATTGTTGCATATGATCGAAGATTTTCAACTTTTTTTTTTTTGATTTTTTGCCTTCTATTTTTTTTTGGTTTTAAATCCCTTTTTGAACGTGTAAAATGAATTGACTACCCAAAATATCTTTTAGTATCGGAGAATACATAATTTAATATATATATATATATACTTGTTTTATTATATACATACGCTAAAACCTACGTATATGTAAAATATATGTATATAGTGACATAGAATATAGCTATATACATATGTACATAGTATTATATTGAAGGACGACGAATCTGACACTTTATAATGGCATATAATATCTTAGAGGCTTTTTATCTTTTACCTCGTTTCTTAACTATAAATAAAATCATTAAGCGAAAATTGCAAAATCGAAGAAGAATATTGAAAATCTGATAACTTTATGCGCTAGTGTAGGACGACAAAAAAAAAATGATTTTTTTTTTATTTTATTAATACAATTCCGAGAAATTGGAAAAGAACAGAAAAAAAAACGCTCATGAATTTCATTTTATCTTTTACAAACAAGAATCTTATATTCTTATATTTTGAAAACCTCAAACACATCGATTGAAAGCGGGAATTGATGGAAGTTTTATTTAAAATTTTGATTAAAAATCGATTTTCGTTTCAAATAAAAAAATATAGCTGTTCGAAATTAAGCTAAAAATTTTTGAAATTTTTATCATAGTTTCAAGAATTTTGGTATGGAAATTGCAATTGACACTGTATTACTACCCAGTTCAGTTGATTCAGTTTTAAGTGCAGCTGATTACTGAATTGTGTACCATACCAATACAGTAGTAATACCGCGATTTGCAGGGACATTTCAGGGGGAAAAATTTTTAAATATCATACCTACAAAAATATATATATATATATTTATATTAGTTTAGTGTTTATGTTTTTTAATAAATTGGAATAATATGCTTAGCGTTTTCTTACAAAGTAACGTCATATCTTCATGTCTATATGAAGAAAATTATTAAGTTTGTATATTTACTATTCATTTTATTTAATTAAACTAAATTAATTTTATTAGTTTGTACATAAATTTGTTTTTCAATAGTTCGCAAGGAAATTGTATATGAAATTATTCGTCATACGTATTCTGTCATTAAAAATTTAAAACTAATAAATTTGATTTTGTCATCGCCATATTTATAGTTAGATGCCCTTTAATATTTAAAATAATGAAGTGAAATTAAAAATATAATAATTATTTTTAATTAATTTTAAATTTCGATTGGGAAAATATTTCAGCAAACCTAACTTCAGAAATTTCATTAATATACCTATGTATGTATTTTTGAAATTATGAAGTCATTTACTTCATTTAAAATTTCAGGTTATGAATTAAAATTGCTGAATTATGTATGCAATCGTATTAATACAATTTTGAATTCAGAGAAAGTGTTAATCTTTAATTATTCAAGAGAAAATAATAATTTCATTTAGAATATTTTCCGAAAATAATATTATTTTTGTTTATTTATATTTTAAATACCCATAGACATAAATATCTATAAATGTACATACTTATGTAGCATAATTATACAATGCATGTGCATATAAAATGTTTCAATAAAACGTGATGTTTTGTTGAAATTTAAATGGTGACTTTTACCAATTTTATTTAATTATTCAATTCACCTTTCAATCTGTAAATTATTAAAATTCTTTTAAATTTCTTTGAATTTGTTTAATGATCTCAATTTTGTTTGTATTTTTTGCATCCGACTTACAGTATACAATCTAAAAAGAAATTCCCATAATTTATTTTATTTTTGGTTTTTATCTTTTATTGTTTTTTTTTTTTTTTGTTTTGTAAAGGCTAGGCTAGACTAATATCTGCAATCATCTGCATACATTTAAACAATTTCTAACTTGTAAACAAATTACGTATGCGCAAAATGTCAAATGAGAAAAAACGAAATCCAAAATAAAAAAAAAAGTCAAAATGAAATAAAATTAAATATAATTAAAATTTTAAAAATTTATATCAGTACAATACATATGTACATATATATATATGCATGAAAATATATTTATATAGGGTTATCCCCCATAAGGATACCTTAAGATAAAGATTAGTATATTCACATATACATTATGTGTACGTATGTTTCATATGTATGTATATATGCATACAGTTGGGCAAATTTTGAATAAATGTATGAATATATAAGTAAGTATGTGGGTATTCAACCTAAAGATCTAAAAGTATTTCTTATTTATTTTTGTTTTTTTTTTGTTTTGTTGGCATCAATCCAAAAAATCTATTGAAACTTCCTGTATCTTTTTAAATTTACATATTATACATGTATGTACATATGTATGTATATGTATGAGTATGTATGTAAATTTTATTTGAGGAGTATAAGATCTTAATTATTGTATTTACCTACATGTACGGTCTAAAAGTTTTTATTTTTACAATTTGTTTTTCATAAAATAAAAATTTTGTATTCATTATTAATTTTTTAAAATACTATATATACAAATACGCGAGCGAAAAACGCGATCATATTATTATAAAAAATTCTTTTCAATTTAATATTTTACACTCGGCTACATATAAATATGTATGTAACAATATTGTATACATAGTTGTTTTATATGTAGGTAGATATTTATGGAGGATTTTTTTAAATTGCGAATTTTAGTTTTGAATTCTTCTTGTTATATGATTCTATTAATGAATTTGTACCGAATTAAGATTATTTGCCTACTTAATTTCATTTTAAACTTAGTCTTCAGAAACAAGTATTATTCATAAGCTATGTATATTGGGTTAAGTAATGAAATAACTTTTAGCCATAATAATTGCAAAAAATTATGTTTGAAATGTAATTGTTGAATTGTGTACTAATACCGTATTAATGCAATTTTACGGTCACAGTAATATAATTCAAAAAAAAAAAGTAAAAAATCGGCACCAAGTCTTCGTATATGCTATTTTCAAATTTTTTGTTGTATTTTTGTAGATTTTTAAATTGCAAGCAACACAATTAGGTACTCGTAAATATACCGTTTTTGTGTGAGATTTCATGCAACATGATAAAGTTTAATAAAAAAAGAAATGGAGCTACTTTACCAAAATACAGATTGAAGATTAACGTGATCTACATATTCCTAGAGTACTCAATTTATATTTTCTTTTTAAATACAATACACATTGTAAATATTAAAAAAAAATATCATTTAAATAATTTATAAAGAAAATATTATGTTTAAGCATATTCTTACCAGTTTCGTCTCCAGGACAAATTTTACAACATCTTCCAGGTAATAAAACTGGATCGTCACAATCAGCTGGTGGACATTCATTTTTAATATTTCGACATTGAACTCTTGCGACTATTCTACGTTTTTTTGGTACCTAAAATAAATATTTTCATTTATTTAATATTAATTCTTTTTTGGATTTCAATAATTATTTTAATTATTATATTTTAAATTTTGTGAAAAATTCCGCAACTCTTAAATAAGGACAATAACAATATGAAATAAAACTGAATGAAAAGAGCGTCTAAAAAAAATTTGACATTAGTATTCTGGTAGACGCCCAATGTCTTATAAAAATTTCACTGTGCGATCTTTAATTTCTTATGTGGTATTTATTTATTAATCAAATTTTTAATTTAAAATAAAAAAATTCGCATAACATAAAAAAATAAAAAATACAAACAAAATACAAAGCATGTGCGTACTATAAATAAAAATTTTCACTATAAAAGTGATAATAAAATTAATAGCCGTAAAAATAATTTACAACTATTTATTTACACAGTTATTTAAAAAATTTTAATTTTTAAACTTTAATAAATTCAAAATAAAAAAAATTCTTTTCAAGAATTTAATTGACGCCAAGCTACTTTGAATATAAAATTATTTTACTTTTTCCGAATGACAAATCATGTCGGAGAATTTTTACTTCAATTCGATAAAATGTTGTTTTTTTTTTTTTCGTTTTTGAAAATTATGTCACGGACGTGCTCTAGAATACGGCTATTAAATTTTATCTAATTATTGTTAATGCTATTTTTATAAAAATATCATATTATTTTATATTGTATGTAATTTAAGTAAAAGTAAAAAAAATTTTGAATGCACTAAATTTTTGAGATGTTTACAATCTTGTTCCTTATTGAAGTTTCATTAAAATATTACATTTTTTTTGTAATTATAATTATGCGTTTTCCATAATAAGGCTATTAAGAGGTTATGTAATATTTCATGCAACTGACTTACGAGGGTCAATGCGTTTTCAAAGCTTTAAAATTTATTTCACTTCCTTTTTACTATAAAATTTTTCTTTCTCTTGACCGCACTCTCTCTCTCTCTCTTTCGTTTTTGTTGAGTTTGTAAGAAAAAATGATGTGAAATGAAGCGTAAAGCTTTCGAAGATGTAGACGAGTGTGAAGCGTTGAATTCATACATCTATATATTACGTCATATTCGGATAACAAAATATTATCTAAAAATAATGCTATTTAAACGAAGGCTATTCAATTTTTTTTTATAGTCTAGCTTTATTTATAGTCTGTGCTACTATATACTATGATATAGGGAAGCTATATAATAAACAAATGAATTAAAAAAAGCGCGGCGCCTATTTAATGACTTTGTTTTAAGCTCATCCTTTGTCTAACTTCGAAAACAAAAATATAATAATTATACTTAATATCCATATATAATATGGAAAGCATAATACAAAATATATATAAAACAATAAAATAGAAAATATATTTTATTGTTATTATTATTTTTATATTGATTTAAATGAATCGTTTTAATTTTTGTTTCAGATTTATATTATTGTTTCATTATAATTTCAATAAATACAGTGAATGTTCAATAAAAATATTTCAGAGTCAAAAACGGACTTTAGAAATTTCAGGGTTTCTATTATAGAAAGTTGTATGAAACAGAAAGAAGTCACAATAGTTTAATACAAGTCAGCATTAATCAAGATATAGTACGGAGGATTTGCTATTTTATATTTTCACTCTAGAACGAAAACTGTCATTGAAAAGACAAATAATTTTTTAGTTGAGCTTAAAGAATGACTAATAATGTATTACTACATAATTCAGCAATTATGATTGTTAAGCTGAATTGTATATAAAAATTTTTATTGTTGTAATTTTAAAGTAAGGGTTGCTTATAAGATTCTAATGGATATTTAAGTGTTTACGTTAATGTTATACATTTGATATACATTGTTACTGTATTTTGTTATACATCGTTATTGAATGCATGTATGTAGGTATGTTTATGTAAAGTAAGAATACCTTTGTATGTTTGTAAATTACCAACAACAAATAGTTCGTCTTAAATTTCGTTAACAATTCTCAAGACCTTAATGGTTCCATTTTATTTTGAAGAAGCTTTTAAGCGGATTACAATGAATTAATTTTTCAAAATTAATAATTTATTAATTTTAAAATAATTAGGTAAATAATAATAACGTAAAAGAAGTTCAAGGTAAATGGTTTTTTTTTTAAATTTTAAAACAAAAGAATTTTTTAAAATTGTGCTTTATTTGATTTATCAAATTTTTACTGTATACTCGTTTTCATGAAATAATCATTAGATATACTGATCATTGATTAATATGCACATATGTATGTTTATGGTATGTATATGCATACATACATGTACATATGAGCACAAGTATAAATACATGTATAATCTTAAATTGATATACTATGGCATATGCTGTCAGAATATTTGAATTGAATGTTATAAAATTGGGATTTTAGCGATTATTTATAGTACATGATCAGTATTAAGCTTAAATATATACAAAAGTAAGTAACTATGTATGTATATAATTAAATACAATATAATATAGAAGATGGAAAATATTTTGTAAATTAAATCCATGATGAATACGATTGTATGCATAAAAGTGATATTTTGAATAAAATTGTTCTTTAATTTCATTTAAAATATTATATTTTTTATATTTACAATATAACACTCGTACATACAATAAATATACATACATTTAATGATAAACCATTAGAGACCAATCCATTTGTCCAAAACTTAGTGTACATACTTACATATGTACATATTATATAAAATGTGGAATTGGAATTGGAATTTTAAAATTTTTATATTTTTTCATATTAATTACTCCTATCTGGTATATAGTGCAAATCTCATAAGGGGGCATATGGTTTTTATGTCTCAGAATGAATATTATTATTTTTTTTTTGCGAATTAAATTATCATTGGTATTTAATAATAATTTATAATACTGAATATTATGGAATTAATTGAAATTGTTTTGTTTTTCTTTTTTGTCCAAACATTTTTTTTTTAATTAAAATAAGGCAATTCATACAATTATCGTATACGATCAAGCGTAAATAGAAACGTATATTAGAAAGAAGAGTTTATTTTTCTTCATTTTGTATATATACAAATATTTATAATTGATTAATAAATAGAAATTTTGATTTAAACTTAAGAATATAAGGCAAAGATTTATTTTATTAAATTGCTGCATATATTGCACGCCATTTTATTTTGAATATCATTCATTCGAATATAGATCGTATTTTATTCTCTAATGCTAATCGGAATATTATTTAAAGTACGTATTTAAATTATTACTTAGATTAACTTATGTTCTAACTACAATTTGAGAATCTTTGATATCGTCTTAGTTCTAATATAAAAATTAGATTCCACTGTTTCTTTTTTAGAAATTTTTAAAAGAAGGTCCTGATATATGTATGTAGATTTGATACTTGGACATATTTTGAACAGCGTGCGTAAACACAAACCGATATAAATAAATGTTTCTGGTTTATAACAAAGTTTTTGAAACTTTTACGATAAAAACCACTACCGCTTAGTGATTCTATACTCAAAATAAGTTCCACAGTTTTAATCTTAAAAATATATACATATGTATACATGTATGTTTTGTAGGCCGAAAATTAAAGGCCAAAAAATTCAAATCAATATTTTTTATTTAATTTTTTATCAAAGCAAATGAACGAAATTGAAATTAAGACGATTTAAGACTTCTGAAATGATAAAATGTCAATATCTGTCATATAAAATGTCAAATAATTGAAAATATAATCTGCGGTAAAAATCATCGTTAGAATTATTTCCACAATTTGATCTTTTCCATTTTTATTTGATTCATATAACATATTTTTAAAGTGTGTATGTATGTATGTATGTACAAGTGAATGCATACAGGCCTACACGAAACTGAATTGAACCTTAAGCTACAATTGTTTTTTTTTGTTATTCGTTGCTCCTAACATTGTATTTTTTTTTGTTGCTCGAATTTTCAGACGTCATTTTAAATTATACATACATACATATTTATATATACATATTTAATTTACAAGAAAAAAATAAAACAATTTCTTTTTTCATATAACCGTTACAAAATTAAATGACAAATTTATTACACCTCACTTATAAATATAATACATTTATGTATGTATGTATGTTTGCATGCATATCTGTTAATATTATAAATAATACTACAATTTAAAAAAAAATAAATAAAACAAGTACAATATACAGTTATATACATACACATACATTCATACATATACGCATTAATGTATAGCTTTCCGAAAATAATTTTTAAAAATATTTTAAGAAGGAAAAGAAAAAAATTTAACATCTTTTTTTGATTTATTAGCCATGTGCGACAAAGAACAAATTACTGCTTTTTTATATTACGTACGTTATGAGCGCATATCTATATATAAATATTTTTTAATATGTGCATACATATGTACATACATATGTATATGTTGGAAAAAATGTGTTGTATATTAAATTTAAAAAAATATATATGCATGCATATTAAATTGTTGAAATTATGTTATATTTTTTTATTTGAATTTTGAATAGACAAGTGTAGCTACATACATACATATACATATTTTTGTTTTTTCTCTCTTATCAGACTCATTTTAATATTTATGTTATTTTTATACATTTCTCCTGTCTAGATAGTATAGTATATGTATGTACAATTTGTTGAATTTTAAAATGTGTATACATTGTATGTATACAATATTTTTAAAGTTTTCCAAAGGCATACAGATACAATAAACACAACACAATTGCATATATTGTATCCTAGTTTTCATTAATGTAGAAAAACCTGCTGTCAAAGTACGGCAGATTAAATAAAATTACATTATTGAAAACGGCTGACTATATTTTTGTAGAATTGTTGTAGAAATTGTGCAAATGCTCTGGGAGACATGCAAATTTTAGTTTTGCAATTATATAGTTTGATGGCAAATTAGTTGCGCACACTCCTATGCAACTAAAATTATTTGAAATTACTAAATTGCAATCAATTTGTAACAAATTACATATTGCTTAATTAAATGCCATTACTGCATGTGTGCGCACTTATTCGAATATATAAACCTATGGAATACAAATAAGCAATCAAACAATTGCAAAACTAAAAATTCTGCAATTGTCTACCTGAACCCTAAGTATCAAACTTGTATTTTTTTTTCTTAAAAATATTGCTAAAAGTCAACAATATGTTAAAGTTGTTAAAATTTATAACTTGTCTAGGCTCAATATGGGGATTTGGAAATTGTATCTCTTAAAAATACAAACATGAATAAATGAATAATGAAAAATGAAAATAATTTATATTTTGAATTAGACAAATATACAAAAGTATGCAATTTTAAGCTGCATAAACTACATTATGATATTACGTTGTCATTATTGAATACAAAAGCTACCATCGGAATACTTTTGTAGTACATTACCGAAAACTATACATTGTAGAAATACTGTATTTATGCTTGAATGAAGACAGTATATATTAGCATGCACATATCTATACATTATTAATTTTATTTTATTATATAAATTTATTTTATTATTTTTTATTTTGATCAAATGTTTTAGAAAACAAAAAACAATTTATTAGCGTTTATCCAATTTATACTTATGTCCCAAAAAAGAATTATATATGTATGTATATAATAAGCAAACATACATATGTACATATTAATATTTATATTAAAAGAAAATTTTTAATTTTTACTATTTAAAAAAAAAAACAAAATGAGAAAATTATAATAGAACACATAAAATTTTGTCTTTTTTTTTTGTTTTAAATTGTTAATGTGTCAAGAGATTTCAAAAGATTAAAAAATTTAGAAAAAAAAAATATTAAAGAAAAACAAAACATTTATATATTTTTATATAAATAATATTACAAATAATAATACAATAAATAAATAAACATACATATATGTGCACATACATATATATATAAAATACGAGTATGTATAACTATTTGTAAAAAAAGAAACCGAACAAATAAAAAATAATAAATATAAAATAAAATATTTGGAAAAAAAAAAAAAACAGACTGACTGAATCATAAAAAGTTTCATGATCATTTTTCATTTTTAATATGCCTAGACTTTTATAAAAATAAGTGTGCCGAAATGGTAATGATTAATGTTAAAAAGTTATATTTTTAATTTTAGGAGCTCGGCAACACCGAATAATATATTTGTTTTAAGTTTTTTTTTTCTGTTTTAACATTTACGATTACTTTTGATTTTTTGTTTTTGTTTTTTTAATAGTATTTAATTAATAATAAAGAAGATTCACTACTCTACAACTTTTTAAAAAAAAATTATTAAAAAAAAATTTTACGTTTTTATTAAAATTTATAGATTTTTTTATATATTTTAATTGTTATTGGTTGGATTATTTGCTCGTGTGCATTAGATTTCGGTTAAGATTTTGAAGATGACAAAAAAATATTTTAAGATCTATGAAAAAGTAACAATAAAATATTAAAAGACAAAATATATTATTGAATATGAGAAATATATTTCTTTAAATATACTAATTGAAATTACATTAAGGTCTAAAATTAAAATTCGGGAATCGTGAGCGGAGATAATTTGAGTTATATTCCAAATCTAATTTAAAAAAAATAGATGACTCTCTCTTTGATAATTTTTCAACAAAATTTGGGGAAAAATTGTTTCAGCGTCCAGCTCCGGGTCTATTTATAAAACTTGTACACCCTTTGAGATAAAAGCTAAAGTTTTGTACGCAAATAAATTTTTACTAGAAACTCATTTCTCTAGAAGAAAATTTTAACCTAAGCTCGGCTAAACTTGTAAAATTCTGTCAAGGCAGAAGAGTAATGATTTGTTTCTTTTCCCGGGGAACAGCAAAGCCAAAAATTATAATAACAAAATGGCAGTTGAAATTAACGTATAACATCCGTTAATTACAAAATAATTTTTTTTTTTAAATATCGTAAATACGATATCGTTTTTCTCCATTACGGTAAATTGTAGAAGTTTGAAATTTTACCAAACTTTTGACAGCATTTTTTTTCCTATTCCCTCCTCGTCTAAGATATTGCCTCTCGAAATAATAAAATTTTAATATAAGAATAATGAGTAAGTTATTGGAATAAATGCGAAAATTTAACATGTTATAAGACGTATTTAGCACAAGTAGCAAGCCCTGACTTTAAATTTGCATTAATACTGTACTAACACATATAAGTCTTTATAACTCATAATTTATGACATTAATTTTTTACGAGAATAGTATAATGTTATCATTGAAGCCATAGTAGGCACAATTTTAAAAAAATTAGTAACTATACCAAAAATTTTTTTTCAACTCAGTGTCAATATCATTCAATAAAATAAAATTAATCCGAAATCGAACATAATTTAGGTATAAAAATGTAGTATAAAAATGTAGTACTCATTGTATAATTATATGCATCATATGTACATACATACATTCACATTTGATATTACTATGTAATTTAGTTTTGCCTTTCGACATGTACCTATACTATTTTAATACATAATTCCAATTTTACTCGTAGGTTTTTGAATTATCTGTGAGAATAAAAATGAAATATTCAACTTGTTCATAAGTATGCATTTTTCTCATGAAAAACTTTAAATTTATTAACTAAGAGATCAAAACAGTTGTATTATATAAAAATAAGTTTTAGGAAAATTAATGGTTTCGAAAGAAGGTCTTTTTACTATATACATTCTTTTTACTATCGCTATGTTGTTATAAATAACACTCATTATACTAATGTTTTTTTAGCCTTCCATTTAAGAGTTTGTAATACATACTCTAAACGTATAACACTTTCGGTGTATACTAAGCACTCCAATCTACAATAGCTTACACAAAGTAGTATATGACTTCAATATTTAAATATGGATGGGTTAGTTTCTACACTAATGAAGCTTTCTAGTTCCATACAAATAGCGTTTCACTTACAGGCTATTAATAACTACTCATTAAGAATAGTCAGGAGAGTTTTATTTCTGTAAAATAAATGCACAAATAAAAATTTCATTTTTTATTTTAAGAAATATAACCAATTAATTACAATATAATTAAAATTTCAAGTCAAGAGAGCATAGAACGCAGTTAAATGAACAAAAAAACCTAATTTTTATCCGATAAGATCTATTGATATTGATAACAGACAGACAGACAGACAGACAGACAGACAGGACAGACCAAAAATATTAAACTAATAAACGGAAAATTTTTAATTTTTTTTGTAATTTTTCTTTATTTTTATTTTAAAATAGCAAACGCATAATAACAAAATGTAAGAAAAATTCTCTGGTATTTCATGATGCAATATGCAATGGTGTGAATATAAATTAGAAGATTGTTGCATTTTACGTGAGGAAATTTATTGAAGTAACAAATAGGAAAAAGTAAAACTTAAATAAGTAAAACCTGATTGTAATTTTAAATGACATTTTTAACTTTAATTGAATTAAAAAAAAAAATAAATAATTTTTATAGGTTATTCATCTTGTGTTCCTACATAATCTGCATAACCTCATACACTTATGTATGTGTGAAGAAAATTTTGCAATAATATGGTAAATAAATTTTTTTTCAGAAATTTATTTTTTTAATTATTGTTTTTTAATAATTGTGTATATTTATATGGAAAACTTACCGCAATACATTCACATTTGATGCAATACATAACACCAAAAGGAGGTCCCAAATCTGCATACCATGTCGATCCTAGCTCCTTCAATGATTTGCCAAATTGGCATTCTGAAACTGAAACGAAAAAAATTGAGTAAGGAGTATTATTTTGTTACATAATATATGTATGTAGTTTATGTAAATATTAATGTGAATATACGAGTATAAATGGTTTAAAAAAAATTAGCTGGCATGAAAGAGGAATGGTGGAATAATAAGAAAACTTTAGCAGCAGAAACTACAAGTCAAAATATATTCAGCTATAATACCATTAAATTGGTGACTTCTGTATCATACAATTGGATTAACTTAGGTGATGTATCATTTTTTATATTGCATAAACAGAAATTCGGCTGAAACATTAATACCGTATTTGCAGGCAAAAACAGAGAGCGCCTCGCATTAACATTCAGAAAGAAGTCTTACAAAGTGGTAGTGCATTTGACTAATTTATAATTTTTGTAATAAAGTAGCTAAGTTTTAATATACGAGTAAGTTGTTAAACGTAAAAAATATATGCGAATGTCAAAATGTACGATTTAAATTTCTAATTTATACATAATACTTTGCAGACTTTTTACGTTGCAGCATTTAAGTAAAAATCATAAAGCTGTTAGAGTGGTTTCAAGCTGCTTAAAGGTGATTTAAAAACTGATTTTTCCTTAAAATCTAGAAACTAAAAAATTTTCATGATAATGCCACGTTTTGCAGAAAATTCGCAAAAGATGTTGTGAAAATAACTTTATTTCAAAACAGGATGTGTGTATAAACAAACTTAAGTGAATTTGTAAATTTGTATAAACTTTCAGATCAAAATTAGTAAATATTATTTAAGCAAAAATTGTCCTTGATCACCGCCTAAATCAGCTCAAAAGTAAATATAAATATTAGATGGTTGTCAGAATATGACTCAAAAGTTTCTATTGCACATGTTTGATATAAGAGAGTAAATTATAATAAAATTTTATTTTACTTAGATTATATTGCTGATAAAATTATAATTTTCTTCAAAAACAAAAAATAAATAAATAAAAACAAAACACAGAGAAAAATTTAAATTGAAGAAATAAAATTGGAACGTAAAATCTTAATAAAATATTGCGTTTAATTGTTTAAAATTTCAAAAGCTTTTTTTTTTTTGTTTTTGGTTTTTTTTTTTTCAAATTAAAATACATTTTGTGTCTGTAAATATGTACAAATGTGCATATATTTACCTACATACATAAATACATCCAATTTAAAATAAGAAAATTAAAAAAAGAATTTTTTAGATAAAAATATTAAAATGTTAGACAAAAAATTGAAAATTAAGAAAAAAAAAAATGTTTTTGTGCTGATGGGATTTGCTATTAAATTTGAAAATAAATCTTAGTAAATGATGATTCACATTTAATATTTTCCTCTGATGTTATTTAAAAAAAAAAAAAATTTCGTTTTTTTTTTTGACGTCAGTTATTTTCATTCGACGATTTTTATATTATTATTTTATATTTGTTTGTGTGGCAAGAAGCATGAAAATGTCTTTCAGGTTTCTTATTCTAAAATAAAAACATAAAATTCAAGGTCATTGGTTCAATGAAGTTTTTTTCTTTTCTTCTTGTTTTTTTTTGTTGTTTTTTTTTTGGTTTTGTTTCAAATAACAATTTGTCGGTCAATTAAATTTTACTTTACTCATCGTTTTAACATATTGTTTTATTCTTGTATATTACTTTTTTTTTTCTCTTATAATAAAAAATAATTTGTAACACTAAATGGTATGTATGGTGGTTAACGTACATCTCTAGGGCTTACGAATATTATACAATAAGAATATGAGTACACAAATATTGCATAAATCGTTTACGTTATAAGAATACGAAATTTCATGTATATTTTTGCTAAATTGTAAAATTTTTTTCGAACTCCTGTAAGTATGCAATATTGTTGTTAATATCTAAGTGATCATTTATAAAATAAAAATTAGAGCACGAAATACAACAAAATTGCTTACGGATTCGTAAAAAGCATTTATCATATTATAATTAGGGTCGGATTATGTATAGACAAGATTGGGTTACGAATTATCAGAGTCGGATTTTGTAATATCAGGGCAACATTATGTATCTTCGTGGTCGGATTATGTATTATTTGGGTGGGATTATGTATAATCAAGATTAATATTGAAAGATGTTTATGTTGTTCATCAATTTTATTCATTTACATAAAATTTATGTATGATTTAATGTACATATTAATCATACCAGTTGCCGTTAAACAAAGTTTATAAACGCGCGTTAAATGTTGTTTTATTAAATCAACGGCATGCTACAAATTATTGAACCAATCAAAATATTAAAAATATTGGAAAAGTATTTGAAAAAAAAAAAACCTATGAAATGAATAAATCAAATTTTGATGAATAATTAATATTTTGGTAGATAGATGAATAAGAATAATTTGTTAAATATTTCGATTACAAAAATTTAAATAAATGAAAATTTATATGTTGATCACTAAATAAAGATCGAATTCTAAAATAAAAATGATCGTTTTTTTTTGTGTATTCATAAATGTACGTAATTACTAAGCTATTTAATTCTTAATTAATTTTTATAATAATATTAATTTCAAAAAAAAAAAAGAAAAGAGGCGAACTACATATATAAATTTTTCTGTGTAGGTATTTATATCTGCATATTATCTATAAGTATATATGTTTGTAATTAATTTAAATACAATTTTTTGATCTTGTATTTTATTTTATTTAATGCGTAGTAAAAAAATAAAAAAAAAAAAAGTTGACATAATTTTTTCTTAATTTACTGTTTTAAAATTATAATTATAGATAATTTAACCCCTATGGGAAATTTATATAGTTCTGTATACAAAAATATATACTTATTTACATATACACTTTTATATTTACATTTTGAATTTTGATCGTATGAAAATAATTAATTTAAATTATTTTATTTGTGAAATTAAAAAACAATTCATTTTGATAATGGAAAATCGGTGCCAAAATATTAGTTCGTGTTTTAAATTAAAAATATATTAAATAATTAAAATTTTGAAAATTAAAAAATTCATGCCCAACGTATATTGATTAGTTTAAAATAATGTCATTTTGAATAATAGAATTCAATCTGTGCCTGTATTGAATGTGTTGGACGCTTCGAATTTTAAAATTAGTTTTTACTTCTATACAAAAAGGTCTTCATATTACAAAGTATTATTTTATATTTACAAAATGCAATTTAGTCCTTGCGTTCGGTATAATCAAAGTGATTGTCAATTGGCAGTTGACAAGCATTAATGCCTTACTTTAAGACATTAGAAATTCAACGGTGGGTGGATAAATATTCCGAGAACAGTATTACTTTGTAAGTATTATATATTACTTTGCAACTATTATCCATCTAAAATATTTTAGGTGGAGTAATTGCTTTATTTTAATGTTATTGTCAAGAAGATTAGAAACGGAAAATGATTCATTATCATAATGGTAGATTGATCTTGTCGTTAATGGTGCAGTTTTTGATTTGCGTTCACCAAAAACGAATGACAATTAACAATTAACGCCACGAATGACGATCATTTTGTGTGCTGAAAGCAGTCAGAGTGTTATAATTCCTTTAAAAGAAACGCAATTATTAATACATAGCATTTAATTTTTATTAAAATAAAATATTTACCAAATTTGAAGTCATTAAATATTAAGAACATTAAATTTTTTATTAAAAATTTTTCAAATAATTTTCAACACACTTTCTTTTGTACTTAATCCCTATACATATATATTTATATACAAATGTGTTTGTGTACATATTTAATGACAGTAATTTCAATTATGACCAGAAAAAATTATGATTTAATTATCTTTAATTAACTATATATGTATAGTTTGGGTATGATTAAAACAATTAAAAACAAACCAATTGAAAAATGACGCATTTGTTTCATTATTTAAAATTTTTTTTCTTATTGTAATAATTAATGATGCAAAAAATATTTATGAAAAAGCTCTTGTAATAAAATTTTGAAAATAAATTTTTTTTTTTTAAATTACAATTAAAGCTAAGTAAGTATAAGTGTACACAAATAGAATGCAAAAAGTAAAAGTGGATTTTTATAAGAAATTTTTATGATTTTAATTTTAATTTTTATTACTTAAATTTTTAATTTTATATATATTGTTTCCTCATAAATCACGAAGATAATATTAGAATTTATATATGTATGTATAGATATTTTATTATGCATCTAAAAAATAATGACTGTGACTCTTAGGAAAAGTAACCTCAATATAAAGATATAACGGAGTTAGAGATATCTTATTAAAGATATAACGGAACCGGAAGGTCTAAATTATTTCATGAAATTCGACAAAACAAAACCATGAAATTTGACAGTTATTTGTAATTTGTAAGCTTACGAGTAAGTCTGGAATTATTTAGAATTAATTTTGTTTACTATAAAACGTTCTTCGTTATTTTAGAACTATTTAGTACAACTACATTATAACAATGCATAAAAGAGGGGTGGTTGACTAATAGTCATCTATGTATGTATGTACATGTTCCTTGGTTCGAATTAGATAAAACAATTGAACTTGGTGGCAATGAAAAACTTATCACTAACATATAATTTTTTTTTTTTTGATTTTTCGGTATTATTCAAAAATTTTGAAAAACATTTTTGTTTTCGACATTTTCGCACGCTTATTTTTTTAAAATTCGCCCAAGTTAGTATTGATCAATTTAAAAAACATAATAAAAATGTAATAAAAAAATTTTTATTTTTTTTTTTTGTTTTTGTTGTTTAAATATAGTAAAATTTTCTTTTAATGTAGATACTTTTTCTGTTTACTCGCAATATAACAATATTTTTTACATTCTAAAATATTGACACACTTTAAATCGCTTAGAATACTGAAAATTATAATTAAACAAGTAGGAAAATATTAAATTTTTTTTTCTGTTTTAAACAGGAATAAAACATTTAAATTGACACAAGCAAAAAGAAGAAGAAAAAAGATGAAATTCAATAAAAAAATGTTCTCCTTTCAATTAAAATACAATTAATTCAATAAAATA